CTGCGCGTGTCTCGATCCGCGCAAACAAATTTGGTGTTTTTAAACACCACCCATTGTCCAAAGAAACATTATTTACCCAGTAGCCATAATGGTTGTCGCGATCTCAGCTGAACCGAGTGGTTCACCAAGCACATGTAGACGTGCGGATGCCCAAAGGATAATTCCCGATGCACTAGCAGATCGGTGTCATGCTTCAGGCCGTGTGGACCCAGGACTAGAAGTGAACAGAGCTGGCGACTATCACACTGGCCGTGTGAACCCAGGACTAGAAGTGGACAGAGCTGGCGACTATCACACTCGCCGTAGTCAGTATGATCCAATGAAGGTGACGACCGAGATGCTTCCAATATAGTTTTTTCAATTAGTCGAAAGTAGACTCATTTAGCGTCGTCGTCGGGAAGCAGGAGCCCGCTGTCGTCTTGCTCTTCATGGCAGTAGTGAAAGATGGACGGACTCGACGAAAACGCTTCCATGCTTTCCTCGAGCACCATCATCTTGGCCTCGACGAGGCTCATGAAGGGCAGCGAGTTGTCCTACGCAAGATGTGAGTGGACGACGCTGGCGGGCCATTGACGTACGTAGGACGAGAGTTCGAGCTCCGTGGCGTCTTGGCAGAAAAGTCCGACTTGCTGAATGTTAAAGTCGGCTTCCGTGCACGCGTTGAGGCCCATGACAAGCACGTCCCGGCGCGCGTGCATGATCTCGATCCGCGCCTTGAGGCACTTGACGAGGTCGGTGAGGCCTTTGAGCTGCTTCTCGTGGCCTAGAGAGGCATGAGCTTCTGTTTGCCACGAACTAAATAGAGACTCTGTAGCATGAGGCCGCATGGCGCAAGTGTCGCGGCGCCCGAGACCATGAGACTCTTGCCCGCGACAAGGAAGGGCACGCTGAGACCACCCGAGACGGGGACCGTGAGCATCGCCGCTGTCGTAATCTACACCACATGGCTTGAGCACAACAAGAGCGCGGGCGAGAATGGACGTACGACGACACCGGCAATGAAGCCGGCAGCACCCGCAGCAACGCCCGTGCCGCTAAAGTCAGCGGTGCGGCCACGCATGTGTAGGAACGTAATGACATCCACGAGGAGCCCGTTGCATTCGGCGAGAATGTCGTCGAGTTCGCCGAGGTGGTTGGCAATGTCGGTGCGAAGCGACTGGAACGACGTCGTCATGAGGGCGACGAAGCGATCGATGCGCTTGCCAATCTTGCGCTCGGCCGCCTTGTCCCGGCGCACGACGGGCGTAATGACGAGTCCCTTGATCTCCTTGAGGTTGTTGGAGAGGTTCGCAAAGACGTTCATGTCCGACCAGTTGGTGCCAAGGACGTCGCGCATGTCGGTCTGGTCGACGATGCGCTCGGCGACTTTCTCGCAGCGCGAGATGATCGACTGCGCGCTTAGATCGAGCTTGTTCTCGGTCAACGACGTCGAGAAGAGGAAGGCGTCGCGCACCGTATCGAGCGCCGCATCGAGCGCGTCGATTTGCCCGGCGTCGGTCTCAACGAGCATCCAGCCCGAGGCCATCTCGCCGTCCCGCTCGACGAACGCCGTTTGCACGAGCTTGACGACGTTGTGGAAGCTGCCCTGCACGTCGAGACGGAAGCTACTGCCCGCTTTCGCCGTCTTGGTCGCTGGCGGCGAGTCCGGGAACCGGTTGCCCTCGACCTCCGACGGCGTCCGCGGGTTGGGCGACGGCCCCGTCATCTCCCGCTGGGGGCTCAAGCTCCGTGCACGGCCGGCGCGCTTGCTCATGCTGCTGATTGACGAAAGGGTGATCGCGGAATATTTTGCCCTCCCGCCCGTATCCGGATACGCGTATAATCCAGACACAACTTCACCAACTGCAGCTTCGGTAAAGTTCGCATCTCGATTAAGTGCGATGCTCGACGCGCGCTAAACGCGTTAAACGCCAGTCGCAGCGATGGCGTATTCACCAAAGACGCGGCGACGGTCGCCAGGGTTTGGACATCTTTAGCGCGTTATAGATAAGTCGATGCAGTAGGTCCTACGCGGCCTAGGACACGATGCGGCCGTTGACGCAAGCTATCGTACGAGCTGTTTACGCCGTGTATACAAGGGCAAGCAACCGGGAAGCGGCAGAGACTGGAGCAGGGTCCAGGTGGTGCTTCTCGCGTATGATTGGCCGAAACGCACCAATCCGCGGCCGCCGAAACTGAAAGTAGGACAAGTCCTAGTTTCGGCAGCCGCAGTAACGGGGCCGTGGTGACGCCATCATTGACCATTAGCTGGCCACGACGGACGCATGCAGGCCGAGAGGATACGAAGCCTGGACGACGAGCATGGCATGGAGACGGTGCTGGAAGAGGTCTTCGAGGTGCAGACGCTCCACCCGTACAAGTTCCCGCTCGAGTGGCGGGCCGAGTCGCGCCGGTGGCTCGACCGGACCGGCAACATCCCAACCTCGCGCTTCTGTGTGTTCCAAAGCACCTTCTCGCCAAGCGACGAGAACGACATGGGCGACGACCTCAAGCACTACTGGCGCTGGAACCACCCATGGGTTGTCGACACGACCTATACGGCGTGCGACCTCGACGGCTGGACGTATGGCACGAGTATTTCGGCCATGAACAAGCACTTGGCCAAGGGCATGACAAAGGCGAAGCGCCGGCCGCAGGACTTTGTGCGCCGGCGCCGATGGATCCGCATGCGCATTAAGCTTGCGTCCTGCCAGCCGCCGACGACACGCGCGTCGTTCGAGACCGACGAAGGCCGGTATTATCGGTCGCTGCGCGTGGACTCGCGCCTCTCGCACGTACTGCACTGCCGGTCGACGCCGATCAATCACATGCAAAACATGACGTTCGACAAGAGCAACATTGTCATGGTACCGACGGGCTCCGACCGCGTTTGCTCATCCTGACGTAGGAAGGGTGGCTTGGCAAGTGCGGGTCGTACTCGCACACGTGGAAGCTGCGCTACTTCATCTTGCGCAACGACTTCAACACGCTCGTGTACCTCAAGGACCTCAATTCGCTTCTCCAGCTCGGACAAGTCTACATCAACGGCCACACGTCGGTGTTTGCGATCACGTACCCGCCGACGAGCAATTTGCGCCACCAGGTCCAGAGATGGATTGTGAATTGGTCCGAGTTTCCTATTTCAATGGTGCTCTTTGTAGTTTGCGTTTGAGATTCTCAATGGCAAGACGCGCCTGCGCCTCAACGCGCCGAGCGGACCGACGCGCGCCGACTGGATGGCTGCGATCAGCAGCATGATCATCAACCGCCGGTCGTCCTTCATGATGGGCGACGGCGACGACGCACTCCCTGGTGTCGTCGACGGCTCGTTCCGGAAGCACAAACCCAAGGCGTGGCAGCCCTACTCGCTCAAGGTCTCGTCCACCGTGCGCGAGATGCCGCACACCAAGTACGTCGAGACGTGCTACGTCCCGCTCGTCCGACGCACCGAAAAGCTCTTTGGCGCGGCCAAAACGTTTGTCATGAGCATGCTTCTGGATCTTGCCGAGGCGTCTGGGTGCGGCCTCGACGACTTTCGTATCAAAAAGCTCGTTGCGGACGGGAAGCTCATCCTCGAAGACCTCGCCCCCGACGTCGAGGTACGATACTATTTGCCACGATGTCGACACCGCTCTGATGAGCACGAGTAGCGTCTCCGCTCGAACGCTGCCGACGTCTTTGAGGGCTTTGAGCTGCGTATCCAGAGTCTCCAGGCCACCGAGAGTCTTCTCGAGATCAACCGCGTCAAGGAGGACTTGTACCAGAGCTGCATCCGCGTCATTGAGGGCATCTTTGCGTTTCAGTCGGCTACGTCGAAGCGTCTCGTGAACGCCAAGCGGACCGCGTCGGCGCAGCGCCGGAGCTCGATCCCGACGCAGTGGACGCGGCCCGACGAGGCGTCGCCCGCGAGTGGCAGCACGCTACCGACCGTACTCGACGGGCAAGGCAGCAACTCGAGTCTCTACCGGCTCTCGAGCAGCGCATCGAGCGACTCGACCGAGACGCTCAGCCGATCGATGGCATCGTACCGAGCGGCACCAAAGGAGCAAAAGGACTTCAAGGACTACTTCGCGCCAAGCCACAACGGTCATGTGGTCGCCGCGGCGCAAAAGCAGCACAAGCAAGACGTGCGGCAGGCGCTGCGCCGGCTCTTTGACGACCGCGCCATGCACTTGGAGAGCGGCGTGCAAAACACGATCGTCTGGGTGCACGAAGACGACATGGGGTCGCTCATCGCGTACACGCTCCTCTCGGCCATGTACGTACAGCAGCTCGAGAGTGCGTGCCGGTCCATCAACGTCGCCGACGAGCTTTTGTCGGCGACCAACTGCATGAACAAGGCGACCGCGCTCCAGATCCTCAACACGGCGTCGGCCAACCACTTCAAGTGCCACGTCGTGCTCCAGCAACCGACCGTCGAGGCCTCGGACGTCTCGGCGTTTGGCGACTCGGTCGTCGACGACGAAGGCCGGAGCATCGTGTGCATGGTCTACTTTGCAACGCAGTTTCATGCGCTCCGGCAGATGTGCCGCCCGGGCAACCGCGCGTACGTCGAGTCGATTTGCCAGAGTGCGGCGTTCACGACGTCGGGTGGCAAGTCGGGCGCCTTCTTCAACCTCGTACTCTACGTGTGCCATGGCGTGCTGTCATTCTCTCGTGCTGTGTAGGCGCATGATCGGCGCTTCATTCTCAAGGGTGTCACCGCCGCCGAGTTCAACATGTTTATCGACTTTGCGCCCGACTACTTTAAGTACCTCGGCAAGAGCTTTGAGAATGGCGAGCCGTCGTGCTTGGCCAAGATCCTCGGCGCGTACAAGCTGCGCGTGCCGTCCCAAGGCACCAAGTGGACCCACGTCATCATCATGGAAAACTCCAACTTTGGCTTCGCAGCCACGCAAATGTACGACCTCAAGGGCGTCATGCGCCGCCGGTACTTGGACCCGAACGACGCGGCCAACTCGACGTCGACGCGCCGTGTCCTTCCGGATGGCAACTTTATGGACCGGATCCCAGTCCCGATCCGGGAGGACGAGCTCGCCGTGTTTTCGGACGCGATTGCGCGCGACGTCGAGTTTCTCGTCAGCGTTGACGTCATCGACTACTCGCTGGTACGTGTTTGTATCAACTTGATACACGTCGTGATGCGAGTGGCGTAGCTGCTTTCGTTTGACGATGGCACGCGCGAGCTGCGCGCGTCCATCATCGACTACTTGCACCAGTACGATTTTCTCAAAAAGGTCGAGTCGAGTGCCAAGACCATGTACACGACGCCGACCGTGATCCCGCCCGAGGCGTACGAGCGCCGGTTCCTCGATGCGATGCACCGGTACTTTGTGGGCATTCCCGAGACGGTCAGTGCGCGCAACGGGTCGGAGCCGCTGCTGCGGTCCGAGAGCGACAGCGACCGCAACCTCCATCCGACCGAGCGCCCACCGCGCGCACTCAGCGACTGCGCCGACCACGCGATGGCGCCCGTCACGTCGGAGCGATAACAGTCAACACGGTGGAGCATGCACCGCCGCGTTTGTGTTCGGCGTTATGGCTGTGGCCGCTTGCGCTTCAAGGTCGCGTACTGTGGGTTGGCCGCTTTCCAAATGTAGTAGAGAGCAATGCAGTCGGACGTCGACTTGCGCGGCAGCTAATGTCGCATGCTGAGACCCACCTGTTCCATCCTCGTAGCAACGTACAAGCTGCGCGACAAAGTGGAAATGCTTGCCGTAGAGCTCGAGACCGATCTCAAAGATGCTCAGTTCCTTGGGCGTCCACGCGTCTACGGCGAGATCATTGTACCGCTGAAGTGCAGCAGTAGACCGTACCGAGAACGTGGACGGGGCGAAGGCTGGAGAGGAGCGCGATCGTCGGTCGCAAGAGCGTGGTGCCGTCCAGCCCCCACTAGTCGTAGGTCAGCTCGGACGATATACTTACTACCGCGAAGGTCTACCTGCTTGAGCGACGCTTCAAGCGCCCGCGTGTCGATGGGTGCCGGCGTATACAAGCTGCGCACCGCGTCAAAGTACTCGGTGACGACAGCACGAACGTCTGTAGTCGCCACGTCAGATCTCAAGTGCCGTCGTAGCGCAAGAAGGACCTTGCATGTGCTCGACGCTTTTGGCCACGACGATCGGCGGCGCGACGGCCGTCTCGATGCGGCGCTTTTTGGTGGCTTGCTGCAGCGACTGGCCTACGGGCGTGGTGGTCAAGCGAGTATAGAGCGGCCGAATGTACGCTTGACGGCAAGGACCGTGTCGTCGTCGCCGTCGCTGAGGAGGTCGTACGCCGTCGGCACGATGCCGTGCTTTTGACGCTCGAGCTTCATGAGCTTCATCCCGAACGGGTCTTTGGCTGGCGCCGTCTTCATCCATACGGTCTTGGCAAGACCCGACTTTTTCCAGAGGTAGTAGAACGCAATGACTTGCCGCGTGTCCTTTGTCGGGATCTAATCACGCTGGTTGACGCCGCCCCATGGTGCGAACGTGTGTGTACGAGCTGCTGGATGAGATGGAACTGCTTGCCAAACTGCCGCATGCCGACTTCAAAGAGGTAGATGTCGCTGGGCGTCCAGTCATCTGTACGACCACGCTAGGCTGAGCGACGACGACACGATGATGTAACGTACCTAAGACATGGCCTGGCCGGAGCGGCGACACGAGCTGCCGCAGCACGTCGGACGTGTTGAAGGACGCAAAGCCATACTAATTGGACCGTCGAGAGACAGCATCATGCTGTGTGCCACGAGACAAGGAGGTCGTCGTACCGGGTTCTCTAGCGATAGCCATACATGGTCGACGGGGCCTTGGACGTACAATGCACGCGCTGCGTTGAAGTACCTCGTGAGTGCGTCTCGCTGGGCTACAATGCTCTCGGTGATGCATAGGCGGCGGTGTGATGCGTACCGAGAGACTGCTGACGGGCGGTCGAGTGCTCGGCCGATGCCAATGGCGCCTCGTCCACGATGGCTCGCTTCGCCTTGGGCGGCTGGAGGAGGCTGATGCCTAGCGCAGGGCAGTCGCATGAGGCATGAGTGCTCGTGCAGGCAGCGCTTACTGCTGCGCGGCTCACGGCGCGGCTCGTCTGCCATCATTCTCGGCTTGGGCTGAAAGACACTGCGAAAATGAATATGCCACACGTGGTGTGAAATTAAATTCGCCAGTTTCAAGATGCACGTCGACGCGGTCTTGCGGCAGCTCTCGGTCGCCGAGGTGCAGAAGCTCCTCGATGCGACCCGCCGGGAGAAGGAGGCGAAGGAGAAGGAGATGCAGGCCATGGGCGGCTCCCGCTACCACGACCTCATCGAGTCCGCCGACCAGATCGTGAGCATGCACGAGGCCTCGATGCACCTCGAGCACGCCCTTGGCGACATGCCACGACTCTGGAAGCAGCTCGAGGCCTGCGTGGATGCGATCGTCGAGCGCCGGCCCACAGAGGCCTCGGCGCAAGTAGCGGTGGATGAAGACCCGCTCGAAGATGATGTCCATATCATCGTCGCGGCCTCGGAGCGCATGTGGGCTGCGATGGAGCGCGGACGGCCTCTCGAAGCGTATGCGACCTACCATCATGTCCAAGCCGCATCGATGCGACTCTCACCCGACATATTGCATGAGAAGGCCTTCCTTGCCCTCGATCTGCAAGCCATGCTCGACTTCCCCAAGGTATAGCGTCCTCTCGATCGACCATCGCGCTCATCTTGAGATGGCAGCGGATCGAGGAATGCGCCCACGCATGTCTGGCCGTGCCCAAGCAGCGCGCAAGCTTTTATGCGGACGCGCTGCGCACGCTCGAAGAGATGGCGCCAACCCAGAGTCGTCTCGCACTTCAATCGACCTTTCTCTCGGGCCGAACCAAGGCGGTCGAGGCGACAGCAGCCCGCGCGTCGGCCCCGCAGTCGATCGTGCTGCGGCTCTTGCACATTATCCTCTCGACGCTTTCGCATCTCGACACACTCTTTCTAAACCCGACGTCGACGATGCGCTTGCTGCCTGCGGCGGATGCGAGCACCGACGCGGCGCTGGCGACTGCTGCGTCGAGCTGGCTCGGCTCGGCCATTGAAACGGTACGGCATCATACACCCTCTCATCCATCCCACGGTTTGCCTTTGTCTAGCTGCGCCACCACATTACCGCTTTGCTCGAGACGAGTCGGGACATCACGACACTGGGCAAGGTCCAGTCTCGACTCCAACGCTGCGTCGACAAGTACACTGTGCCACTACCGCTCCTCCGCGACGCCATGGCCGTCACCACCAACGACGAGGAGAAGACGCCGATGTCGGTGTGGGCCCTCGTGGCAGACGACCTGTTTGTTCAAAAGACACAGGCCCTCTTCCAGGGCGCGCTGGACCTCGCGGGCAGCACGTTTCGCCACGCGCTCTTGCAGGCGCCGAGCGACGAGAGCGTGTTGACGTTTGTCAATGCGCTTTCAGCCATGCTCGCGCAAGCCGACGCGTCCTTGCACGGTGTGTTGCACGAAGGCATGCTGCGCCTGCTCTTTGACCTCGTCGCGTTTCTCGAGACGCGCGTGGCTGCCACGATCGCCATCGTCGAGCTGTGCTTGACACTGCAAACGTCGCTGCCGACGGTGTTTGCCTCGACATGGACGACGTCGGTGTCGGTGTCGGTCGCAACGATCCGCGCGGCCGTTGCGACGCACGCCACCGATCAAAGATTGCCCGCTGCGAGCTTGCCCCGTCTCTTTTCGGTACAACCCATAGGGACTTAGTGGTGAGGACTGGATGGATGCGCATTCCGTGCCTACTAGACGCTTGCGCTGGACCAACTCCCACCGAGTCCGCTACTCGGCGCGCTTCTGCCCCCCGACTCGAGCGCCACATTGACCCAAGTCGTGTTTCTCTGCCATGTACAGCAACGCCATGGTTGCCTTGCCTCGCAAGATGGTACTGCAGTCGTCTGATGAATTGATGTAGGCCCAGCAACGCTCGTTCACAGCGTGTTTGAGGTGCTGGCTCAGGAAGTGGGCTCGGTCTGGGCCCAGCGTGCGGTTGCCGACGCCACAGATCCCGTCGTTGCCTCGCTTCGGGATCAGTTTTACGGCTATTCAAACGAGGTACGTACTTGGTCGTAGGAGCTGCCAGAAACCTGGCGTCGATAGGACTGGCGACGCGTACACCGGCCGTTCTGGGTGTCTGTGGCCGTGCCCACCGACGACGACGACGAGGCAGGAGGTCTGGGGCACATGTGGCTTCCGTGGTCGGAGACGCCTGCGATTGCGCATGCGCTCTTTACCCTACAGGCCTCGATGCCCCGGTGCGCGCAACCAACCGTTGACGCGATCCTCAAGGCCCAGCTCCGGTCGCACGTGCTCGGGTGGACGTTTGATGTGCTGGCGTCGCGCGTCGCGTCGCTCGCGGCGGCCAAACCGCTCAAGCCACCGCTCGACTTTGGCCAAGCGGTCGCGCTTCAGAGCATCTTTGACGTCTACTTTGTCCGGCTTTGCATCGGCGACGCGGACTTTGCGCGCTTTGGGTGGGGCGACGCGATCGCGCACGCGGGGCTCCAAGCGCTCGTGACCGACCTCGTCCACGACTGGATCGACCCTGTGGACTGGGAGCTCTATGGCCCGCCTCTTGTCGACAACGTCGTCGCACAGTTCCAGACGTCGCGGCTGCTGCTGTCGGGGCTCGCAACGTCGTCGGTCGTCTCGGGCGCCAAGGTCCTGCCGCGGGAGACACCGCTTTTGGACGTGGCCCCGCCAGCGCCTCGCTTTGCGCTCTTGCCAGTGCCTTCGCTGAAACCAACCCCGCGCCTCCCGACACCCGTGCACGTGCGTCCGCCATCGCCCAAGGTCCCCCAGCAACACCGGTCGTCGATCCAGTCGCTACTCTCGACCTCGAGCTCGTCCCTGCTCGGGTCGGCGGCCGCAGCCAAAGGCATCTCGCTACTCTCGACGTACCTCCAGCCAACCAAAGAGTAGTCCATCAAGCGTATGGACAACACTCAATGCAATTCCAAGTCGCATCTGTCGTTGTGCTTACTTGGCGTCGCTCTTGGCGTCGTTGTCCTCCTCTGCGTCATCTTCTTCTTCTTCGCTGATCTGTAGGAGCCGCGCTTCCTTCTTGAGCTGGACCAAATTGACGACCGCAAACTGCACAAACTCGGCATAGTCGACGCAGCCGTCGCCATTCTCGTCGGCGGCCGCCATCATGGACACGACTTGCTCGCTGCTCAGATCCAACGTCGTGTGCTCCATCGCCGCGCGGAACTCGTCGAGGCGCAAGACGCCGTCGTGGTCGCTGTCTTCGCGCTGAAACGCACGCACAAGGACGCTCTCGAGCCCTGCTTGGTCGTCGACGCCCGAGAAGATGGCCGCGATCGTCGCTTCGTCCGTCCTCGCCATGCGGAGCCGCCGCGAGACGTGGTTGGGATGGATGAGCTCGCGGATCTTGGGCCCGGCTCGGGTTGCAAATGCCTCGTAGTCGACGAGGCCGTCAACTTCGTCTTGGGCAGCGAGGCCAATCACGACGATGCATTGAATGCGGTTCAGCATGAGCCGTTTGAGCCCATGGAGGCTCTCAAAGAGCACGCGCCGGGGCAGGCGTCCGGCCGGCGCCTCTTCGTCAAGCGACGATGCCCAGATCTCGTGGGCGTGGTCAAACTGGCCGCGCAAGTAGGCTGCAATGTCGGTCGCAAGCGCGAGACTCTGGCCTTGTGAGACGCGGTACATGGCCTCGTAGAGGACCTTTTCAAAGCCCGCGTACTCGAACTTGCCGTCGTCGTCCATGGGCGAAAGCGCCATGATCATGTTGATCTCTTCGCGGCTGAGGTTGGCGAGCGGGCTCGAGAGGCACTTGAAGAAGAGGTCGTACGTGAGTCTGAAGTCCCGAGTGCGACCCATCGCGTTGGGGGGGACGTAGTCGGCCGCGTCAAACGCTTGACGAAGGGCCTTGACAGTCGGCTCGAGCTCTTCCGAGAGCAGCGCCTTGTAATCGTCCTTGAGATCCTCAAACCGGTGCTGGTACTTGCGCCCTGCGCTGAGACGCCGGAGCACGTCCATCGCGAACGAAATGAACTCGTCGTACACGATGCGGCAGTTGCCGTCGACGTCGGCTTGCGTGAAGAGCAAGTCGACTTCTTCCTTCCTAGGACCACTGTGAGAAGACAATATTGTACCGCATATTGGCTACCGCATGTTGCGCTGGATCTTCTTGAGGATCGTGCGAAACTCGAGGTACGTGAGGTGGCCGTCGTTGTTGATGTCGCCTTCGCGGAAGAGCTTGCGCAAGCGCGCTTCGACTGCGTCCATGTCTTCCATACTGCCGAGCGCGTCGTCGTCGTCTTTGGTCTTGTCGTCATCGGCCTTGTGGTCGTCGCTGACGGGCTTGGCGTCGTCGTCGTACTTGGGCGGCGCGACGCGCGCGTTGGTGTACTCGTCGCTCACGTCGACGAGGTTGGCTTGCTTCATGGCAATCTTGCGGCGACGTATGCGGTCCAAGATGCGTTCGTCGAACTGGATGTGGTCCTTGAGCTTGTAGATATGGCGCTCGCCTTCAATCTCGTAGCTCGCAACGTCGCGGAGGTCGTCGGTGAGGGCAAATTTGATATGGACAACGGCGAGCGGGCACGGCGTGGACGGCGTGGGTTTTCCGAGCACCGCGTGGACAATGTTCTTGAAGCGCGGATCGAGCGAGAGCGACGCGCTGTACGAGATGTTCCAACGGTCGAGGTGCGCGCGCACGAGGACAAGGCTCGCAGCGGTTGGGGCAACTTCGGGGACTACGACGTCGTCGCCCGTTGGCTCGCTCATTCCTTCCAAGCGGTTAAATAACCACCCGCGACAAAACGCCAGGCTATTTCTGCACGCAGTAAACAGAGAGCGACCTTGAGACGCAAGGACAGTATCCATTCTGTTTAAAGTTCAAATGCAAGAAAATCTTTGTGATAGCCCAGTGGTAGTCAAAGCAAGAAGAAGCAGATTTTTCGCAAAGAGCTCATTTTGCATGCGCTAAACGCCACATTTGGCACCAAAAGCACCATTTCAAAAGGCACAAAGACAGAAACTGGTATTCTGTCTTGTGCGACTGCACTGCGCCGGATTTTGTTCTTGCCAACTTGCATAAATGCGGCGGCTTGTGATGGAGCGCATCGGGACATTGCGCGTAGCCCAGGGCATAGACGCCCGAGACATCTCTCGGTTTGGAAAAGGGAAAATGGGAGCCACATGCATAGGATCATCTCGTTGACGCACTCGTGTACTGCCTGGCGCGAGGCTTGAAACCGCGTTGTGGTTGGTGCCAAATTTGTGGCGTTTCTCGACGTACTATGCGACTGCCTGCTGTGCGAAATGACATAGGGCTTGTACATAACCTTGGACGTGGCGACCCACGGAGTAAGACGGCTATGGATTTGTAGCAGCGAGCCATCGCATGCTTCGAGTTCGCGTTTTCGCCGTGGTAGCGGCGGGCTTGTCATGTTCACCAGTCGTCGCTTAGCATCGATTCAGGCAGGTATAGCAGTACACACATAGAAGAAAGCACGATACCGAGCACTCGTACGACGGATAGATGCATGGATCGTCGAGCCCATGGCGGAAGCCGCAACGGACTGTGCACCTGGATACAATGGACCTGGCTGCGCTCGCTCGTGACGCTGCCACGTTTGCATTCGAAGCGGTTCGATCGAAGTTTTAAACTGCGAACTTCGCCCATTAGAAAGGCAAGGTGATTGGCACGCATTTGCTGATTGCGATCGACGAGCAGCATGGCCGACTACTGGTTCCTGGACGAGCAAGCGAGTGCGCTCGCGTACACCTACTACGCGCCTACGACCACCGAGAAGCGCGTGCTCGTGCGTGTCAACGTACCCTGCAACTACCTTCGGCCGCTCGTCCTTGGCGCGTTTGCCAAGCACGACCGGTTCTGGGACGTGATGACGCTGCCGACGGACCCGCGCACGCCCGACCTCCTCGTACACCGCCTCTTCTGTGCGTCTCTCGATATACTCAAATATTGCATGCTAGTGGGACGAATACGAAAACCTCGACTGGAAGAACGTGCTGCAAGGCCAAGTGGTCGCCAACTCGTACTGTGTGCGCAAGGGCCTCTCGCGCAAGGCGCAGCTCTCCATGTTTCTCTCCAAGTACATCCGCAAGCACCCGAATTGCCGACTTAGCCGCGCGCTCCCCGAGACGCTCGTTGTCGACCTCTGGGATGCCTTTGACAACAGCTTGGCTGAGCTCGGCGTGAGCTTCCGGAACCGCCTCGAGTCGTGCCTGTGGGAGGTCAAGCAGCTCTTCGAGGACAAGGCCGAGACTGGCACGTGGATCATGAAGCCCAGTGCGTCCAACAAGGTATGTCCTATCCATTGATGCATCGTTGGATAGTTGGATAGTCTCATTTGGTGCTTGTGTAGGGCGCGGAGGTCAACGTCTTTGACACGTACGCCAAGTTCAAGGCCATCATCACCGAGTGGACCGACATTCGCGGTATCCAGTCGATATCAATACTACTAGTGTCTCAACTGATATCGACTAGAATGGGTCGTTCAGGCGTACGTCCAGCGGCCGCTTCTCCTCAAGAAGCGCAAATTCCACGTACTACTATGCGTCGATACATATTCTCGTGCTCAAGGCTCTTATGCTCTAGGTCCGCGTGTACGTGGTCGCGGTCGGGTGTCTCCAGGTGTTTGTGTACCAAAACGTCCTTCTCCTCACGTCCCTCGACGCGTACAACCCGGCCAACACGGACAACAAGCTCTCGCACATCACCAACACGTTCCAGCAGCAGGACCACCCCAACTTTGTCGAAGCCGACTGCGTCCTCCTCCTCGAAGACATGGAAGCGATCCTCATGGACGACCAAGGCATCTCGGCGGTCGAAGCCAAGACGATCACGACCAATATGCTGGCCGATATTGGCGCGATCACGGGCGAGGTCTTTGATGCGTACCGCGGCGAGTTCTCCGTCTTTCAGCCGCTCCCCAACTGCTTTGAGGTCTACGGCGTCGACTTTCTCATTGACGAAGACTACCAAGTGTGGCTTCTCGAGGTCAACCCTGGCCCGGATTTCAAGCAGACGGGCAACCGCCTCCAGCCGCTCATCCAGACGCTCGTCGAGGGCATGGTCGACATTGTCACGGACCAGTTCTTTACGGCGGCGCCGGACACCAACAAGTCGTACCCGGCGTTCGAAAAGGTCTACGACGACAAGTGGGGCGCGTCGGCGTCCATGACCTTCCACGAAGACTAACCCTGCAACGAGAGTCTCCCCTCTCAGTTCTCCAGTCTCTTTAACCTACTGAACGCGGGACTCTGGTTGATGCATTGGGTTTACTCGGTCGCCGCCATATCAACAGAGGATGCTCTTGAGATGGCGAGGACTGCGGACGAATGCGCCGATCGGCTGCGCCATCCTAGGCCCTACTTGCAGAGCTCCGGCTACGTCGGTCCTTCTCGATGTCGTTCCCAGAGACAAACGCAAAGCCAAACCGGTCGGTTCAACACTCTACTCTACGTGGCACCGTGACCTGCCGCTAGTTGCAAGTACTTCCCATGGCATCTCGCTACTTCCGAGACGGCCGACAACGGTGCAGCGCCGAATCGGCTTATGCAATCGCTGTAGTCGAAAGGTGCATCTTTGCAACGCCTCCGACGCGGAACCTTCGGACAACGTGCCACGTCAGAGGTTCGACATGGCAACGTGGTGCTATTTATACCTCCATATTATCGTCGGTCATGGACGAGGGTGCGATCTACACGCTGGACGAGGCGCAAGCCGCCGTCGCGCGCATGCAGAGCGCGCTGAGCGCCATCTCGGCTGAGTGCTCGCTCGAAGGCGCGGGCACCGAGGCCACGTTCCTCGAGAAGACGGGGTCGGCGATGGCCGACACGAAAGCCACGGCGCGCCAGCTCGCAACGTTTCTCGACGCCGAGAAGCGCCGCAAGACGGCCGATAAGACCAAGCTCAAGGACCTCCGGAAGAGCTACATTGACGCCGTCAAGCAGCTCCAGGACGTCGAACGCATCTACGCGCGTCGCCACGAAGCCGTCATTGAATATGGTATTGCGTGTTACGAGGCATGTTATATAATCTTTTTCCTAGACTTGATCAAGACCGCTTGCATCTCGACGGACGACCTCCAAAAGGCCAAAGAAGACCGCGACATGGCGCTCGAGGTGGCCGAGGACGCGGTCCAAGTCAATCGAGCGTTCATTGCGGTCGAGACGATGGTCAAGGCGCAGACCGGCATGATCACGCAGATCCGCAACCAAACCGAAGAGATCAAGCTCGAGATTGGCGCGATCGTCGACGAAGCCGAAGTCACGCGACAGGTGCAGCGTGCGCACATGCAGAAAAAATGCCTCATCGGAACTGTCGTCCTCCTCATCATCGCCGCCATCGTCGTGCCCATCGTGCTGCACTACGTACTCGTATGAACCTTAGACATTACGACACTTGCGATATATCGTGTCCATGCGTCCGATCAATCACATGTAGACAGCCGGATAGTTGAATAGTTGGATAGTTGGATACATGGATGGGTGTGGCGTTCGTGTGGGAATGCAGAGTGGATAGCTGTGTAGATCGTTTGTCAAACGATCGAGGTGCATTCCGCAGGATTACTTCAAGTGGCAAAAGCAATATATTGCAGTCGTTGTCGCGGTTGCGTTGCCATGGATAGTTAGAGGGATCGTTGGATAGATAGGAATCCGTGCGGATAGATAGTGGTGGATGCATGGGTCGAGTTCGTTTCGGGCGAAACGAATTGTGTTGCGGATGGAGGCGCAAGTGGCCAAGCTGCGCTATGCGACGGCGCGCTGTCTCTACATCATCGACACCTTTCTCTCGACGAAGCGCGGCCAATCTATCATGCTCGTGAGCTTTGGGCTTCTCATGACGGTCACCTGCGGCTGCTTTGTGTCGCTGATTCCAACCGACGACCACAGCGAGTCCACAACTGAGGTCGCAGCAGAAAATACGACGCAGAGCGCGACGCCAGAGCCGACGACGGCGGCGGTCGAAGGCCAGCACGGCGGGATCAAGCACGGTCTTGGCCAGGCCATGTGGGCGTGCTGGCTCTTCATATCGGACCCTGGTGCGCAGGGCGAGCAGCACGAATGGGTAGCTACCTATAAACCCTTTCAATTTGGACTCTGACGGCCATGTAGAAATTCCGGGTCCCGGGCTTTCTCATTAGCATCCACGGCATGGTCTTCTTCTTCGTCATCCTCGGGTTCGTCGTCGACTCGATTCGCGAAAAGATGGACGACCTCAAGAAAGGCCGGAGCAACGTGGTCGAAACCGGCCATAGCGTACGTCCACCTGCCAATGCCACGTAGAAACCATGTGATTGCTAGTTGATTTTGGGGTGGAGCGACAAGTCGATCTCGCTCATCAAGCAGCTGTGCTTGGCCAACGAAAGCGAAGGCGGTGGCGTCATCGTCATCCTCGCCGACGCGTCCAAAGAGTTTATGGAAGGGGAGCTCGCGTCTCAGATCGAGCTCGACGAATTGCATCAAACCAAGGTCGTCGTGCGCACGGGCAGTCCGCTCGTGATCGCCGACTTGAAAAAGGTGTCGGCGCAAATGGCGCGCAGCATCACGATCCTCGCCACGTCCATGGACGCCGACAAGTCGGACGCCGCGTGCCTTCGTGTCATTTTGAGTCTCCGCGGTCTCTTTCAGGTAAAATTTTCCCCATTTTTCGAAGGAAGGCCCGTTTGAACTCGATTTTTCGATAGCTGCAAGGTCATGTGGTGGCTGAAATCCGAGATGTGGACAACGAGCCGCTCGTGCACCTTGTTGGCGGCACCTTTGTCGAAACTCTCGTCTCCCACGATATCATTGGGCGCCTCATTTTGCTCGCGGCTCGGTCCCCTGGCCTCTCCAAGGGTCGACAATTTGTACAAACATCAGTGATTTCAACATGACAATAGTGTACACGGCGCTCCTGGGGTTCGAAGGGGACGAGTTTTACTGCCAAGCGTGGCCCGACGCGGCGGGGACGCGGTTCGGCGATCTCATGCAGCGCTTTCCGCTCGCGACGCCGATTGGCATCAAAACGAGCAGCGGCAAGGTTGTCATCAAACCGAGCTTTGACTATCTCATCGAAGCAACGGACGAAATTGTCGTCCTCGCTGAAGACAACGATTCGTATACGCTGACGCCGGCCGTGAGTGTCCCGCCGCTCGCAACCCCGCAGATTCCGCCGCGCACGATCGAGAAGGAGATGATCCTTATCTGCGGGTGGCGCCGCGACATCCAAGACATGCTCGTGCTGCTCGACAACTATTTACTCCAAGGCAGTGAGGTCCATTTGCTCAGCGAAATTTCAGTACATATATTTTTGCATGATTTTTGTATTTATGCTCCGAATTAGGTCGACGACCGCGCTGTGTTTTTGGCCGAAAGCGGCATTGACGCCGACGCGTTCGACAACTGCATCTTGAAGCACCACGTCGGCAACACCTCCGTGCGCCGGTACCTCGAGCCCCTTCCACTCGAAGCGTACACGTCGATCATGGTGCTCTGCGACTACCAGCGCGAGCGCGACATTTTGAACTCAGATTCGCACTCGCTCGCCACCGTACGTTTGAAACACATGTTTGTATACTCGAAAACGAGTGGTTGTAGGTGCTCTTGTTGCGCAATTTGCAGAAAAACAAAAAGGAGCAGCGAAAGGAGCACCTCTTTGGCCCTCGGATCGTCGACGCGATCGCTCGCTGGGCGCGCCACGTCACTAACAAGTGTCCGTGCATCACCGAGATTCTCGATCCGCGGACGCAGAAAACCGTGGTCGCCAACGCCAGCATCGCCGTGCACTCGGACTTTGTCATGTCCAACGAACTCATCTCGTGCATGCTCGCCATGATCTCCGAGTCGCGCGAGGTCAAGCAGATCCTCCACCGCCTCTTATCGCCCCAGTCCAACACATTTGCAGTTCAAGACAGCCGGCGGTATTGCACCAAGGATGAAACCCTCTCGTACTACCAGCTCGCCAAGCGGCTCGGTGCAGTGAACGAGCTCCTCGTCGGCTATTTGCCCAAGCGCCGCAAAACCGACAAAGGTAGTGCCCTCGTCAAATAGCATCGAATCGGACTCGAACGTGTCGGTAGAGCCCAGCATTGTTCTCAACCCAAAGGACAAGGCAGTGGTGCGTCAGTGGAGCGAGTTTGACTTGGTCGTTATCATCGATGGCGCCAACGACATTGGGCGTGCGCAGGACGTCAAGAGCGCTGTCGTCGACCGGCTCACCGACCAGATGCGTCAAAATAATTTGAGGGACGTCAAAGCGGCCGCGCCCCCACCACCGATTGGAGTCCGCGCCGCGAACCCGCCCGAGCCGCGTGTTCGAACGCAGCGATCGTTCGTCTCCAAGGCCACGTCCCACCTGCCGGTGCCGCCGTCCTTTGACGGCGATATTGAGCTCACGCCCGAGGTGTGCCAACGTCTAATGGCGCTTCGCGACGATGTCGAGATGCTCCTCGAGCACTACACGAACCTCCATACCAAGCACGAGCAAATGCGGTTGTCCCAGGGACCCAATACGATTCAAACGTTCCATGCCTCCTAAGCAATTGTTGTCGTTCAATGTATGTCATTTCATTAGCAAAAATGTCGTTTGCTCGTGGCTTCCACCATTCTGTTTACAACTTGAAGCCTCTGACTTGTCTCGGCTCGATAGAAAAATGGCAAGACAGATTGATGAGCCGCACGAGATGGCGGTTGTGGACTGAGAGCGCCAGTATGGGTGTGACGTGGGACCGATTGATAATTATAGCCGTGACTGAGGAGTGGAAACGGCGACATTTCTGGTAGGTGTTTCGCGGCATAGCGCGGATGGCTCGAGGCGAGGCGTCGTCCGTGAGCACCAAGCTCCAGTCCAAGGCCGTCAAGTACTTTGCGCCGACCGAGTCGGCCAAGGTCGCGGTCGCCACCGATGCGCCAACCAAGTCCCCGACCAAAGGCGTCGAGGTCGAGACCAAGAAAAAATCGAGCTACACGACCAGTGCACTCGTGGCGTACAAGGTCGACACGTTCATTTCGACGCGACGAGGCCAGACGATCACGCTCGTTTCCTTTGGCACAGTGTTTACAATCATTATCGGCCTGCTCATCAGCGCCATGGAGCACGAGCTAACCGTGCCTGAGGCAATCTGGGAGGCTTGGATGTACATGACGTTTCCAGGTGCGCAGCGCGAGGCAGTGAGCTGGGTACAAGCGGGTATACTCTAAATCGTGTTGACGTTTTTGTAGGACCATCGCGCAATTGCAATGGTCGTCTCGATTGTCGGCATTCTCTTCTTTGCCGTCATTCTCGGGTTTGTCGTCGACAGCGTCCGGGAAAAAATGGACTCGCTCAAGAAGGGCAAAAGCAACGTCGTCGAGGAAAACCACACGGTACGTAGCAAATGTGTGCATCCGCTAGAGCTACATTGTAGCTGCTCTTGGGCTGGACCGACAAGTCGATTTACCTCATCAAAGAGCTGTGTCGCGCCAACGAAAGCGAAAAGGGCGGTGTCGTCGTCGTGCTCGCCGAACTCGAGAAGGAGGAACTTGAAGCCGAGCTCCACTCGCACATGCACCCGGACGATTTCCTCGGCACCAAAGTCGTCTTTCGAACTGGGAACCCGCTCTTGATTGTCGACCTCAAAAAAGTGTCGGCGCACACGGCACGAAGCATTGTCATCATGGCTACTGTCGGTGACGCCGACAAGTCGGACGCGGCGGTGCTGCGCATCATTTTGTCTCTTCTCGGCCTCGACTCGGTACGCCGTTTTTCCGAGTTTGCACTTCTGAGTTTGCACTTTAGCTACGCGGCCACATTGTTGCTGAAGTCCGTGACATTGACAACGAACCGCTCATCTCGCTTGTCGGTGGCGGCGCGGTCGAGTCGCTCGTGTCCCACGATGTGATTGGACGGCTCGTCATCATGTCGGCGCGCTCCCCGGGTCTCGCCAAAGGTTGCATTGTGCCAGGCTTGCGTCGTTTTGACTTGAGTGCTTCTAGTCTTCCGTGCTGTCTTGGGCTTTGAAGGCAACGAATTCTACATCAAGGAGTGGCCAACTTGCGTCAACGTACCGTTTGTCCGGCTACAAGCCTATTTTGAAGATGCAATTCCGATCGGCGTCGAGACCAGTGACGGCGACATCGTCATCAAGCCCGACATGGGCCGCCAAATGCGGGCGGGCGAAAAGATCATCTTTCTTGCCGAAGACAACGACTCGTACAAGGTGCGGGAGACTCCGATCGAGATCCCTGCCTGTCGTGACCACCCGCTCCTCGTGACGGAGCGCGAGGTCGAGAAGATTCTCATGTGCGGATGGCGACGCGACATTCGCGACATGATCAAGCTCATTGACGAAGTCGCTCTGCACGGCTCCGAAGTGCACTTGCTCTGCGAAGACCCGCCAATCGAAGAGCGTGACGCACTGCTCGTCGAAGCCGGCCTGGACTTGGCGTCGCTCGAGAACATTGCCCTCATCCACCAATATGGCAACACGGCGATCCGGCGCCACGTCGACCAGCTCCCGCTTGAGATGTACACCAGTGTCATGATTCTCGGCGACCAAGCGCGGGAAACCGATATCTTGCACTCGGACTCGCACTCGCTCTCGACCGTGCTCTTGCTGCGCGGGCTCCAGGCAGCGCGGCGGCGCAAGGCCAAGCAACGGCTCTTCACACAGCAGGTCGCCGACTCGATCGCCAAGTGGATCCACAAAGGCAGTCCCGAGAAGACCCCGTCGTGCCCTTGCATCACCGAGATCCTCGACCCGCGAACGCAAAAAACGATTGCGAGCAACAAGACGATCTCGATGCACTCGGAGTTCATCCAGTCCAACGAGCTCGTGTCGTGCATGCTCGCCATGATCTCCGAGTCGCGCGAAGTAAAGAAGATCCTCAACGAGCTGCTGGGCACGGTCGGGTGCACATTTTCGGTGGAGGCCCACACGCGCTACTGCGAGAAGGACGAACTGCTCTCGTTCTACCAAGTGGCCAAGCGAGCACTTGTCCACGACGAAGTGCTCTGCGGGTACCAACTGCATACGGGCAACGATGGCACGGAGCTCAACCCGCCAAAGAAGAGCGTCGTCCGGAGCTGGAACGACGTGGATTTTGTCATCATCCGCGACAAGCGCAATAAGAGCGAAGAAAAAAAGCTGCACCTCATCGAGTCGACGACAGCAGCGTTCTCAGACATGGCCCGACACCACCGCGTCCACGGTCTCCTCGACCACCACTCGGAGAGTCTTGTCGAGCACACGCAGGATGTGAGCGCCATGCCCAAAGCCGACGACCACCAAGTTGTCGAGATCACGCGAGACGTCTTGCAGCGTCTTTCGGGGAAGCTCTCGGTCATCCTGAAGGAGTGCGAGCGTCGCTCGTCCTCCGTGCATCTGTCGCCAGTGTAATCCCAATGTAGTCTTCGTTGATAGATCCCATCAGCGTTTCAACCTCTGAATGGATGTGCACAGCCACGCGCGCATGGATAGCCACAAGAGGCCCGGGCTAGTTCATGATTGCACGTGATTCGAGGACAAGTTACCACGACACTTGCCGGACGTGTCTATTCGTCAACAGCGTCCGGTGTGGAGCCTTGGGGATCGTCGTGGTCGCTGGCACTGAGCGTGTCGTCGCCAACCGCGCTGTCACCAGCAGGCGTTGCCAAGAGTTGGTGATACAGCAGCGACAGCTCGTTCGACGCAGTTCGCGTCAGCCGGGTCACGTCGGCGCCGAGGGCTTCGAGTTGCTCGACCGGCAGCTCGTTATTGATCCACTGGATGAGAAATAGTAGCGCTTCTTGACTGGCCAGCGGGTCCGTGTTGGCCTCGAGCCGCACGACGCGTGCGAGAGCGATGCACTGATACAAGAAGAAGAGCGCCCAGAGATCTTGGGCGGCGCTGGACTCCGTACCGAGCTCGCCATCGTCAATGGGCGAGCGCTGCACACCGCGAGGAAAGACGAGGCAAAAAGCGCCGAGGAGCTCGGATCCCTATGCCTTCGAATCAGGACGAGATCGTGGACATGCAAAGCGAACCTCGGTCGTGGAAAGCAGCCACGCCAACGTTGTGCTCCACGTTTCGAACGCACTCACAAGGCAGCCTTGCGCAACATCCGTGCCGATGCGCACGAGATGCGTTAACAGACGGCCATGGATGGGCGCCGCCTACAACATGGGTGTAAACACCGCACAGAAATGAACCAAGCGCACCTGCAAGTAGACGCCAAACGTCTTTTCGATCGACTCGCGCACTTCGTCTTCATCAGCGTCGCGCAAGCGCAACGCGATACCGGGCGCATCGAGCGCGGCCCAGAACCAACTGCCGTCAGTCAAGTGCTCTGTCAACAACGGTGGCAAGCCTTCGGGTCGATGGGCCAAGAGACTGTGGGCCAACACTTGGTTCGACACCATCTAGACCACAAGTTCTGGGCATCCATATTGTTGAAATTTCAGCAAGGTACCACACTCGATGGCGGCAACTTTGAGCGCAGATAGAAGGCCAAAAAAAGATGCGCGGTGGGGTCCGACTCGGGCGGCAGCGCCGCCAAAAGGATCGCTACGGCCGAGTCGAACCCAAGCACCATCGCCCGGTTGGCCAAGTCGAGGGCCAATGAGTTGGACAGCGGGAGACGCGCAGCGGCATCAAACGACGATGGCGACGCGGCCTTGAGAAAGCAAGCGAGAGCTTGGTCCGGCTGGTTCAAATGCACGTACACCTGCCCCGCTTCTTCGGCCGAGTGTCTGTCATATAGATGTGTGATACATACATGCATTTGCATTGTCGACTGCGTACGTTGCCTGCAAATGGCTCGCCAAAGCTTCGTACGTGGCGGTTCGCACGGGATCAAACGGCGAGCAGCGCAGGTGCACGAGGGCGAGGGCGTCGCGCCACAACTGGCCATCACAAAGACACTCGATCGCAGCGTGGACATCTCCAACCGAGGTGTAGTGTAACGCTAGCAAAATGGATGAAGGCTGAACGAGAGATTGCTCTTCTGAGCGTACCTGCATCTTGAAATGCGCGAGCGTCGCGAAGCTGCTTGGCGTACAAGCCCGTAAATTCGCGCCACACGTCGCTACCGGCCATTGGCGCGTAGGCGAGCCAGACGGGGCTAAGCTTGCCTAGATGCAAACGCAAGTGAGCTCTTGCGCCATCATCATAATGTACGTCGATGACTACCTTCTTTGGCAACAAGGCGGAGTGCATCGCCAATGTGTCCGTGAAGCACTAGCAGTCTCGCCGCGCGTTCCCAGTCGCCAGTCTACGCAGCACGTTGTGTGAGATACATCCAACTCTTCGATTTGAATGACACACCGCCATGTACTGCGCGTGGGCATCGTCGATCATGGCGACGCTTGAGGGCGGATCGAGCATTTTCGCAACACTTTCGACGTCGATGACGGCTTTCGGCAGCAAACCGGTCACGGCGGCCGGTGCCTTGGGTTGCTTGGGGACCGACTTTTTGCTTGTTACGAGGGAAGCAGGAGCAGGGGCCGGGTCTTCTTTGCCCTTGGGCGGAAGTGTACATGTCTACAGATACGACCATAGCACTTGATCAGCCTCTATAGCATGAAAAAACTCGTGTACTTGGTCAGTGTACGCCCATGCGCGGATCGACTGGTCTTCGCCAGCACTCACAAGTGTCTTGTCATCGACCCACGCGACTGTCAAGACGCGACCCGTATGTCCCCGAAAGTTGAAGCCGCGGTCGTCGCCTTGTGGCCACACTTGCACGGTGCCATCCATCGACGCCGACGCCAAGAACTCTGCTGACGGAGACCATGCAATGCACGTGACGCCCGTCGCGTGCCCTTTGAAGACACGCGCCGGCCCCTGGGGACGCTCACCCGTAAAGTCGTACACACACACCTAACCACAGAGACTGTCAAGTGCGGCTTCGTATTCTGGCTGCGTACCGAGCCATCGTAGGACGCCGTCACGAGCGTAGACCCGCGCCAATCAACGCACGACACGGCTTTGGTGTGGTCCATGTACTGATGCGCTTTGTCATCGTCAACGACGAGATGTACGATGCCGTCCTTGGTCCCAACAGCGCAAGTGACCGCGTTTGGCTGCCACGCAAAGCTCGTAACGTTGTGAACGCCCCAGCGCTTGTTCACAGCCTTCATCGGCGCATCGGGCGTCTCAGGATTGGCGACTGTGAGCGTCCCGTCGCCAGCGCAAATCCAAAGCTGAAGTGCCGAGCTCGAATGGCTCGCGACCGTTGTCTCCATCACGTCACGCTCGCCGTGTTCGACCGCATCGAGCGCTGCCAGCCAATCTTGCACCTGTTGGACGTGAATATCTGCACTGCAAATATGCAACGTACCGGTGCGCCGTCTGTCGTCGGCGGAGCGCGCCAAGCCACCTGGTGAATCATGCCCTTTTGGTATGCCTTGAAACGGATGTGCTGGTGCGAGGCAGTGTCATAGTAGCCAACAGCGCCGTCTTCACAGCCATACGCAAGCATTGTGGGGCTCATGGGATGCCACGCCAACGCCGTGACCTTGCTCTGGAGGCCTTTCCATACAAGGTCGCACGTCGTTTGCGGCGAATGCACATCGCGGACCAAGCGAATCGTGTTGTCGCCAATGCCCGCGGCCAAGACACCGCTGGCGTTGAACTGAAGCGTATAGACATGGCCACCGAGACCTGCGAGCTTGCTGTGCGATGTCATCGATGGCGCATGGAGCACTCGCACGTCGCGGTCCATCGAAACCGTGACGACGTACGTGCTCGCAGTGCTGAGCGAGAGCGCCGCAATGTTGAAAATAGGTCGAGTGTGGCCTTGCTTGACAATCGTCGGGGCCACGCTGAGCTTTGGGCGCTTCTTTGAGAGAGACCTAGAAGCCGTCAGAGGCAAATGATGGTAGCACGTCGTGTAGGCATACCACTCCCAACTGTAGAGCTCGCCGTTGTACGAGCTCGTCACGAGACGCACTGCATCGGCATCCGCACAAGGCATCCACGCGTGCGTGAACCAGAGACGTCCGAGCTGGTGCGCACTCATAGCTTTCTTTGGCTTGGGCAGTTGACTCTCCATGATGAGATTGTCGCCGTCATAGACGCACAGCTTCTTGTCGCGCGACGACGTTGCGAGCAAGAGCTTGTCATTGGCCGCTGTAAACCACGAGACCGCGTGGACTTCCTCGTCATGGCCTAATACACACGTAATAGGACGACCAGCATGGCATTTCGAAGACCTTTGAGGCGCGTCGTGATGGCGCCTTGGTGCACATCCCAGAGGATCACTTTGCCACTCCGATAGCCAATAGCCACCTACTCCGTACACGTGAGATATCAAATCAGAAGTCGACTAGTACCATTCCACCGGCGACGTGCAGGCAGTAGATGCAGTCCCCAGCGATCGGCGTGGCCAGCGTCGAGATGCCTCTGTAAACCGTCCATGAGGTCGCAGCCTGCCAGATTATGCAGGGTGTACGTGTCGCGACGCCAAACACTCAAGACGCCGTTGCGGTCGCCTGCAACGATCGTGTGATCCTCGGCGCTTGCGATGGCCATGATCTCGGTCTTGTGCTTTCGCTGGCGGTCGACCATCTCCCGCTTGGCAACGTCCCTACATGGTCCTTTTCCATCCCACGCGCTTTGCACCATCGATGGATACCAAAGTTGGATCGAGCCTTCTTCTCCCGCGCATGCCAAGAGGAGCTCTTCGTCGGCGCCATGGAGGAAGACGACCGACGTCACCCGCTTGTCGTGCTTCCCGCGGGGCACGTCTGCGTAGAACCGGGGCTCACCAAGGGTGTTCTACAACGAGCGCTTCTTCCTGCTTGTGCATAGTGGCTGCTATCAGTACCTCATCCGTCAGGAGCATCTACATGGGCATGAGCATGCGAGCACGTCGCCAGCATCGTCGTGTACCTCGTAGATCGCGACATGGGACTTGCAGCCGTAGGCAAAGTAGACGCTTCCGGACCCATCGCGGGGGACGCCCCATGCACAGAGCTACGTCAAGAGGAGCGTCTACCTCGGGTCCATGCATCGCGTCGTCGCCATCGTCTACCTGGGAGCAGTACCAATTGGCGCTCGGGAGGAAGAGCGCTGCTCGCATCTTTGAAAATGATGCCATACGACGTGACGATTGGCTGTTGCATTTTGGCCAATCACACGCGACCCGATCCAAACGGCCCAAGAGTTTCATTTCAAAAGATGCAACTCACACTGGCGGTGAACGGGCTTACGTTCACGGTGGCCTGCGGCGAAGGCCACCAGTGCATCAAGTGGCTCGGCCTCGTAGCCGCCCAGCGCTACGCACTCATGCTACCGCACGGCCGCTGCCGCACCCGCGAAGACGCGCATGCCAAGCATGGCTTTTACCTTCCGCGCGAAGTCAAAAATGTAGGACGCGACGCGCTTTGGCCTGGACTCATGGCTGCTAGTCGGAGGGCGTGATACTGAGCCCATGGTCGCGCATCTCGGACTGCTGCCGCGAGAACGAAGTCATCGCTGTCGTGCTTCAGGTACCATTATGCGACTTGACCTTGAGTGCTCAGGCCACATCATGCGATGTAGCACGAGGTCCCCGTTGACGAGATTGGCATCCCGGTCATGACCGAGTGGGCCGCCTCGGCGTTCTCCAACACGAGCAACCAGCAGTCGGAGGTGGAGCCAGACGCCGGTGACATCGACGGGATCGCTGGCAAAGGACGTATTCCGCGCGACGCGCCCGACGCAATCAATGGCTACGCCAAAGCGCACCAAGCCACTCACGTCCGGTCGGGGCAGTTTGTCTCGCAAGAGGAAATCGAGGCTGCGTTCTACCACGACCTGCCCTTCTTGCAGCTCGACGAGTTTGTCAAGGAAGCCAAGGACCGCGTACGTTCAGACGCCTTGCTGCCGATGGTAACCTGCCGCTAGGACGACGTCGAAGAGACGCTGCTCAAGTACTACGACGCCGTCAATATGATCTACAAGCACTATAGCATCGGGTTTGGCGACGACATGTACAGGTACACACCTCCATCGCATTTGGATCGCACCACCATTTGGCTCTACTGCGTAGCATGAGCCTCCTCGAATTTCTCCATTTCGTGCACGAGTCGACCATGTTGCACTTCCAGACGGACCACAACGTCATCGACAAGATCTTCCACACCGTTGTGACGGGCCTTGGGCTCGAGACGCCGTCGTTGCCCCGCGTCGGGTTCATCCAAGCACTGCTGCGCGTGATCCTTGCCTACAACAAGATGTACGGTGACGACACCCCGTTCGTACCGGCCCTCGAGAAGAGTCTCAAGGACCACGTCAAACCAGCCGTCCTGCGCTTGACAACGGGTCCGTTTCGCGATACAGTGCACACCGATGTACGACGAGCGACGACCAACATACATGTCGACTGATGCAATGGCTAGAGCATCCTGGCGCTCTTTCAAGACGCCCGACCCAAGGTGCTCAAGGTCTACGAAAAGTACGCGACCGCCACGAGGTACTTGGATGGTTGTGGGGTCCCGCAGTAATGATGACACGTAGCGACAAGATTCCTGGCACGTATCTGAACGCAAACGACCTGCGGTGCAAGCGTTCAGCGTCGACGTGCTATAACACGGAGCTTGGCTAGGTCACTGATCCAAGACAGCGGTATCTTTTGCACGGGCGACAGCGACGAGCACGAAGCGCTCTTCAACACCGTGCGCGACAGTCAGAGTCATACTTGACGCACAACTTCTTCATAGGCGCTACTGCAGTGCTTTACCGGCATGAAGGACTGCAACAACGCCGACACGCAGTGGTTTGTCCTCGTCGAAGTCCTTGAGATCGTGAGCCGCCTCTCGCTCGGCATTTGGCAAGACAAGGACGTCTCGGAAAAGGAAACGATCCGGATCGGTCTCGACGCAGTCCGCGCGCTCGCGAAATCCAAGTGACAATAGCTTCCTACACCCTTCCATCGAGAACCCTATATGAGCAGCATAGAACAATAGCTATGAACGAAGATATCGTCTTGCTCGTTACTCGTAGTTGGGGCATCATGGCAGACCCTGTGAAGATATCAAAAAATGTACAGTGCTAGTACGCGTATTAACCTAACCCCTCGACCTGGCAGCCATCTCGATGGGGCTCGCGTGGGAATGCATTAGTCGCTCCAACAAGATACATAACAAGTTGGACAAAGAGTGTATACAAGGCAAGACAGATATTTGTGTATTCTTGGTTTCTTCCGACAATCAGTGGTTCTACCAGACAATATTGTCATGTGTTTTTACATTGATTGCATTCGACCCTCGGTGCGCTGTTTCTTGGCCTTCGGTGGTCGCGCTTGCGTGTACTCCAAGTACTCGATGAGCGCGACAAATCGCGGGGCGCTGGCTCGTAGCGTGCGTACCACGTCAACTCCGAGACTGGCCAAGTAGAGAAGCACGTCGGCAGTACCTTGTCGCATCGCCATTGGCGAACATAGTGCTGCATTGGCACCGACCACGTCGTGCAGCAACCGCACCATTGCCACATCCCCATGGACGACCGCTGCGTCCAAGGCTGCGGGCGTGCAGCCGTCGGCCCGATGCGCATGCAGAAACGCGACGAGCGCAATATTCCCCGACTTGACCGCCAGATCCATCACGCGCGGCGTCCATTCACCAAGGCCTTGCTCGTGGAGGTAGCGCACGACGGGCAAGTGACCGCCTCGGGCCGCACGCTCGGGTACGTCGTCGAGCACGGGGGCCTTCATCGCTTCATACAGGTAGCGCACAATATGGTCGTGACCGCCCATGGCTGCCCACGCGATCGCATAGCGAGAGGCTTGGATGCCGACCGTGGCATGCAGGTACTTGACGACGGCCAAATGGTTGTTGCCCGCAGCTTTGTCGATGGCGCTCACTGAGCAGCCTTCGCCGCGGTGTTCGTGCAGAAACGTCACAACGTCCAAGTGGCCGTTGGCGGCTGCGCAGTCCATCGCAGCTTTCGAGCAACCAAAGTGCCCCGCGTTGTGAAGCTTTCGCACGAGGTCCAGTCGGCCGACGCTCGCACAGGCGTCCATGTAGTCTGTGGACCACATTTGACGGAAATGCAGCAGCGAAATGACTGCGTCATTTCCGCCTGCGACGGCCGCGACCATGACCGAGACGGGGAGCATACGTGTCAGACTGCTCTTGCGGTCGTTGTGCGAGCAGCACTTGAAAGCACTCGAGATGACCCTGCTTGGCGGCCGCTTGGAGCGCGGCAGGTGTGCTCGGCGTCCCCGTCGCCAGGATGAATTTGATCACGTCGCGAAGGCCCTCCGACGCGGCTTCTTCCAGCGAGTGCTCGAGGCTCGTGGTCGGATGCTGCGCGTGTAGATTTGTGACCTCTTCGAGGAGACTGTCTGTCTCCAGACGACTAAAAATGTCGGTTTGGTGACCGCGCTCTTGAAGGTACGCCGCAATATCTTGATGCCCACTTTGCACCGCAATGCCCAGCGCGTCGAAAGGCCACGTCACTGACGCCTCTTCGTGGAGGAATCGAACGACTGCGAGGTGCCCGGCACGAATCGCGTCCTCGATGTACCGTTTGAAGACGGCGGGCCCACGCTCGTCGTGGAGCTGTCGCACGAGCGCCACATTGCCACTCGTCAGCGCGCCTTTTATCGAGACGGGAATGCCGTTGGAAGCAAAGAGGTTGCAGTGGCCAAAGTGTCCTGCGGTATCGCTCATAAGCGACACCCAGCTTGAGATGTCGTTGCTATTGTTGATGGCGGCGACACCCAGCGGATGGTTGCCAGTTGCCGCGGCGTGTAGAGCTATGCACGGAACGAGCGGTGGGTAGATGCTCATGAGATTTATGGCGCCTGTGAGGCCACGCCGCGCAAGCCACGGCACGAAGCGCTCGCCAAAGACAGCGACGTGCTGCGCGAGGTCGTCGTCCGATGCAAACAGCAGCGGGTCGTTTCGGAAGACAGCGCTGTCGTGCCACCAGCCGTGCTGGTACTCAACGATGAGGCCAACCAACACCGGGTCCCGGAGCGTAGCGTCCATCGCTGCGACGATGTCAAAATGAGCCGGATTGTGATGCCAGGTGGAATGCCTTCTTTTGATTGGCCGATTATGGACCAATCCCACGTGAAGAATCAAAAAATGATGGTCTTTCACATCAACGGAATGGTGCTCCCCTCGTCAACTTGAAGAGGGTTCGTATATAGTTTAGCAGTTTATAATGGCAGGAGAGCTATGGACACCGGAACGACTGGCGGATGGGCTCCTTCAAGCACGTGCGGATCACGAGGTGCCAATTCCGGAGACCGTCGACCGAGTCGCACTGCAGCACAAGCATGGGCTCGGACACAAAGTGGACTTCCAACGCGCAGTCGACCGACGACGGCGCGACGCGCGTGACGACGTCGATCGGCTGCACAATGGCATCCACGTCGCAGGCCACGCTCAGACGCAGGTTGTCGAGCACGTAAAACTGCCGGACGCCCCGGCGCGTGTTGTTGATTTGCGTGGCCCAGCCGCACATGATGGTCGGCAGCTCCTTCACAACGCAGCGCTTGAGGAAGCGCTCGACTGTAAAGTCTTGTCGCTTGAGGTTGTCGCTGATGGCAGCAAGCCACGCGGCGGCCGCCGACTGCGACGGACACACCGTCTTCCAGACCTTGTTGCTCCGCATGTGGAACTCGAGGCCATTGGGTTTCCCCGGCCACGGAACGACGTGATGGATGGTGTCGGTGCGCGTCACGAGGGCCGGCGCATCGTCCGACTGCGTGAGCTCGGCACCGTGGAGCGTAAAGAAGCAGCGCTTGAGAGACGCGTTGAACAAGCCCGATGGAATCGACATCCAGCCAGAAAAGTTCTTAAGGAACGCGCCGTGGGTTCTCGACTGCTTGAAGAGCGTCTCCCCGGTCGTGTGTGGCATGGCTTGCACGAGGGATGTGAGCGCGCGAAGCCACTTGCGCATCTCGTAGTCGGTCTCGGCGTATACGTGCAGCGTCCGGTTCCCATCGAGCGCGATGGTGAGGCCAAACGTGTGCGTCGTGTTGCTTCGCTCGACGCCGACCACGCAGCCGTGGCCGAGGAGGTGCGTCGAACCCGGCGCTTCGCGGTAGCTGAGCGTGTGGTCGAGGAGTCGAAAGTACCGCTGCTTCCAGCTTTTCACGATGCGACCTTGCTTGAAGAGCCAGCCTTCCACAACCTCGTCGGCGTCGTTGCCACCGAGATGGATGCTACCGCTGTGACTGCTCACTTGCGACAAGCGATGCACCGCCGACGACCTTGCAGTGCTCATGCGACGCTGCCGCGTTTCCGACGAGGTCGACGAGACGTTGGACGGCACCGGCGGCATCGAGCCGAGGGTAATGGACTGCTTCTGGAACAAGATGTCCAACGGCGCGTCGTCGACGGGAGCCGGCGCGCTCTCTTCGTCTTGCGGCTCCACCTCGCTGCCAGAGGCGTCCGTGGCTTGAGGTTGCACTTGTGGAGGATCATATTGCACTTGAAGCGGCTCATATTGCACTTGTGGGGCTTCATACTGCCGTTCCGCCGATGTGAACTGCGCAGAAGGAGGCTCGTACTGCACGTGTGGCAGATCGATGGGCACATGGATGGGCTCGGGAAGCGCGTCGTGTGGCGTATTCCACGACGCCCGGGAGTACTGTGCTTGAAGACGAACGTTTGGCCCGCTTGGCTGCGGCATTGGAGCGCTTCCAGCCCGAGAGAGTCGCTTGAACCAAGCTCTTAGCTCGTCCGTTGACTCGGCGTAGACGTCCAGTGCGCGGTTGGGGGCGAGCCGGATCGTGAGCCCAAAGGCCACGCTCGTGAGGTACTCGACGCCGAGAACGACGCCGCCGCCCTTGTGCTTGCCGCCCGGCTCGGTGCTGTACTTGATCTCCTTTTGCGACAGCTGAAAGTACCGAAGTTTCCAGCTCTTGAAGCGCTGACCCTTCTTGTGCATCCAGCCTTCAAAGTCCTCCAGGACATCGTCCAACCCGTCGCGCTCCGGCAACGACTCCATGACGGGCATCATGAACATGGACTGTCGAACAGTCGAGACGGCGCTGTAGTTGCTCACGCGATCCATGCGCGCGTAGTCGCCCATCTCGTGGCCCATCGAGTGGCGCTCGGGCCCGAGCGAGACGCCCTGACTGTGGTCGTCGCCTGCGCCGAACGAGTGGTTCATCTTGTGCCGGTTCAGAATCGCATTCATGGACGCGCGCTCCTTCTGCTGCCGCGCGAGCTTGAACTCCTTGCCATACTGCGCACCGAGACTCATGTACAGCTGGTTGTTGCTCTCGTCGTCGTCCTCGCCTTCGCTCGAGCTCTCGGCGAGTTGCGCGTCACCATAGGTGGGCTCCATAGCAACCGCGTCGCCGTGCTGGAAGGTACTTTGCGTGCGCAGCATCTCGGCCTCGGCGATCGTCGCGGCTTCGTTGGCGTCGTCCATGATGGGGCGAGTTGCGCAGTACTGGCCTGGAGCGTCTCTTGTCCGGATACAGACTGGATAGTTTTTCGCACGCTTGCACAAAACTCGGGTTGAGTATGCACGATGCGCGCATCGCATCCGGATACGCTCACCGTGGCTCTCCCGCCTCAACGTGAGCTCAACGAGCAACTCACGCTTCGACTATACTGCGCGGGCACGACAACTAACGCGACTCGAGACTGCCACGATCGTGTGCCGCCTGTCGGCGAGCTTTGCACCTTTGCACTCGATCGGAGCGGCGAGTGTACCGGTAGCTGCCCGCCACTAATCCCAGGTCCGACAACAATTTCCGGCGCCTGCCAGTGTACCAGGTCGTGACGATACACCCGTGTCCCACCCTCGACGAATGACCCTCGACGATCCATTCCATGTTCATGGCAACGAGCCCTTACGATGACGACAGCTCGGAATATTTGCAAGCCTCAAGGACCTCGAGAATGTGCCGGGTTGACATGGCGATCTCGTGGGGATGGCAGACACCGTCATCACTTGTGAACAGCTCGACATTTATCCTGTACGTATCGTCGACAGCAGGAAGACTCCAAAGGTACTGGCTTTGTTCTCTTGGCGTTGATGAGGACCAGAGACCAGCCGACAACAAAGGGTTCTGCAACAAACGGCCTCCCTGGATGGGTCCCGTGTGCAGAGATGTTCCACCACATAGGTACAATGGCTCCTATGGCTCTGAACGTGTAAGGGCAGCTTCAGGGCTCTTGGCTTACGGCAATTGCACCTTTGTGAGCGCTGGAAATAGCTTTGAGCGGTTTGGACGCCATCTTGTTTGCCACGTCATTGTTGAATTTTTAAAAATACAATTTCTAAAAATAGACGCAAGCAACGCGGAAATGACCGCAGTGCTTTTTGGCCATCTAGGAGGAGACAGGCAGCAGCAAGATGAGCGTCGTGTGGCCCAAGAAGGCGTGGAGCATCGAGGAAGAGCTCCTGAAGAAGAAGACCAAGAGCTCCGAGGACAAGTACCAGAGCCTCCTGACCGAGTACCACGACCTGCGCGTCTCCAACGCCAAGACGGTCGCCAAGCTGCGCGAGCTCGAGCGCTACAAGGAGATCTCGGACGACATTGTGGCCAGCTCCAGCTCGTCCCGGCGGTGCGTTCTACATGCGTCGCAGGATAGCCTTATGATCCTACGTGTAGCCTCGACGAGAAGGAGCGGATTGAGCTCTCGTCGTCGTTGCGCCAGTACCGCGAAAAGCTGGAAGAGGTACGCCGACTCCATGTGCATGTACATAGGCTCATCGAGTATGATTAGGCGGTTGAGCAAATTTGCTTTCTCGAAAAGGAAAACAAGCGCCTCAAGGCGGAGCTCACGACGACCAAACTCGATGCATCGGTACTCCCTTGACATGGTAGGCGCATGGCAGAACGGACCGCATGTACTGTAGTCGTCCAACCTCTTGCTCAAGAACCTGGACGACTCCAAGTTCAAGCTCTCAACGAACGAGAGCCGACTTCAAATGTATGTTGTCGTGGCTCCATGGTGCACGTGGTCATCAAGATACAGGATGCGCATTGAGATTCTCGAGCTCAAGAACCGCAAAGCCGACCTTTTCTCGCAGGTCCAGGACCTCAAGGCGCGCCTTACCACGGCCGAGGTGCGATTGCCACGCTTCATGTTTGCATTTCTTACTCGTGCTAGGCGGTCGCAGAGAAGAAGTCGGACGAGTGCAAGCGCCTCACCCTCAAGCTCGAGGTTTCCTCGACAAGTTCGTAGCCGTCGAATGCCAACCGTGTGTGCTAGTCGGTCGAGACGGCGTGGGACTCGACGCGAAGCCAAAACTCGCGCATTCAGAAAGAAATCCGTTCCGTGGCCGAAGTCGCCGACCTCAACCGGTACGCTTCTGCTGTCAAGTGACATCCCACTCACGTGGATGCTTGGGTAGAGAGCTCAGTGAGGTGCGCTACGCACATGATTGCGTCGAGGATCGAACTTGGTGTTGAGTGTAGAAGACCAAGGTGCGGTCGCTGGAGCTCGAGAAGGAAAACGAGACGCTCCACTACAAGCTCCGGACGCGTGAACGCACGCTCGAGGTCGACCTACCATCGACTGCATACCTCAAAGCGTGCATTAGGAGCTTCGTTCGGACAACGCGGACCTCAAGAGCGAGGTGGCCGTGCTCAAGAAGGACATTGTCGACCTCCAAACGCTCAACAAGGACCTCCGTCGGCTCACGAGCGAGCACAACAAGCAGGAAAAGGACTGCGAGCACGCGCTGAGCATGAACGACACGGAGATCAAGTGCCTCCGCGAAATGAACGCCTCGTCGTCCAAGCGCATCGAAGACTTGGTCTCGGAGAACGCTCGCTTGCAGCACCAGCTCCTCGACGTCCACGGCGATTACCTTAAAAAGGTCCAGAGCGACGCATCCTGGAAGCGCGAGGAAAAAGAAAAGTACGACATGCCAATGTAGTCACCAAATGACAAATATATCGCATGTAGACTCCGGCGCGAAGTCGAGGAAGAGATCGACGTGCTCAAGAAGCCGCGCGTCTGCAAAAACTGCCACGAGACCTTTACCCTCGAGAAGAACACGGCGCAGAGCTGCGTGTACCATCCCGGCCGGTACCTCCCGCGCCAGTACCCGCTCGAAGGCTACTCGTGGTCGTGCTGCGCGAAACGCGACATTTCGTCGCGCCCATGCAAGTTTTCCGGTCGCCACGTCGAGCGCGAAGTGCTCTAACCACTCAATCAACCATCCGTTCATACTCTCAACGTTCTGCCCACGGTGACACTTCTCCGTCAAGCTATTCCAAAAGCTTGTTGCCGAAATAGTATCAACTTGATACTTTCGCCATGCAGGACATGAAAACTCGTGGCTGGAAAGCAGCGATCGGGGCCCTAGATCTCTGGTGTATCCCAGTGTTTCATTGCTCCTCACACCAAGAGTCCTTCCGGCAGCGCCTGAATGTCAAGCATCAACACGGGTCGGGAGGTTGCGACAAACAGGGCAACGACGACAAACAGGGCAACGACGACAAACAGGGCAACGACGACAAACAGGGCAACGACGACAAACTCTTGGCGCCCAAACTAGAATGACAGCCCGGGACATGCAGGCACACAAACTCGAGGTCGTGTTAGTCATCGTCCATCGGGGGAAGCACGCGGCCGGCATGCATGGGCATGGCGTCTTCTTCGTCCTCGTCCTCCATCGGCGGCAAGACGCGACCACCGTGCATGGGCATTGCATCATCATCTTCGTCGTCCGAGTCGGGCAACACGCGACCGGCGTGCGGTCGTGCGGGCGGCGGCGCGTCGTCGTCGGACCCTTCGTTGTCGTCGTCGTCGTCGGTGCTCGACCCTTCTTCGAGCCACGCGCCAAACTCTTCGGTGCGCTTGATCTCTTCGTCCTTGGACTCGCGCACCGTGTAGTTGGTGCCATCCCAGTACGCACACTCGATTTTTCGGCCGCTAAAGAAGCGGCCGTGCATGCGCTCAACGCACGACTGCGCGCTCTCGGGCAGTGCGTACTTGACCTGCACGACGCCGAGCGGGTGCTTGTCGAAAAAGGTGATTTTGGTCACGTCGCCAAGGGTCTCGCACTCGGCCTTGATGTCGTCCTTGAGCTCGTTCCCAGCCTCGACATCTACATGCCAATATATCAGACATTAGTTCAAGCCAAAGAAGGTACAGACCGTCAAAGTCAGCCGGCGTAAACATGTGCTTGAGCACGACGATGCGGAGGCCTTCGTCTTCGTCGGCCGCGCCCCACGAGAGGGCTTGCTCCATTTGAAATTTCTTGACTTTGGCGCGGCTGTCGAGCTTGGCCTTCTTGCGTGGTACGAACGCATCGCCTTTTTGCGCAAACTCGGCCACCTTGACGTCTAGCGGCCAGCTACACATTGTCAGTGCATACCACCCAAGCGCCAAGACGAGGACGTACTTGGGCCGCAAGTCGACTTTATCGAGGAGCTGGATCGCGAGTTCGACCGACGGTTCCTTCATAAAGCACACCGATGCGTCGCCCTACGAGCCTGCGTGAGGGGTGCGAGAGGTGAACAGCACGTACGTTCAAGGCGCCCGAGTCCTTGTTGCGGTACAACTTGATCTTGGGCTCGTCCGTCTCGAGGTCGCGCTGGATGACACCGCACTTGGCAAAGTGGTCGTGGACTTCTTGGATTGTGGCATCGAGGGGGAGGCCGTTGATGTAGATCCACGTCTTTTGCTTGGATGCGACCCACTTGTTCTTCTTGGACTTGGTCTTCTTCTTGCGCTTCTTGGTGGCCGCTGCGTCGTCGGTCGCTGGCGCGGGTGCTGTGGAGGAAACGACCGGCTTTTCGTCGTCAAACATGTCGTTGGATGCCTTGACGTCGTCGACTTCGTCGCGGAGCATCGCAAGCTCCTCCTCGATCTTCTCTTCGGGCGTGAGCCACTTGCGCATTTCGCTGTCGTAGATGAACTCTTTGCCGTCGTCGGCAAGGAACGACGTGCGCGCGCTTGCGCTGCTGTCCATGACGAGCGACGACGGGTCGAGCTTCTTCTCGGTCGCCAAGAGCGCTTCTTTCCGCTCGACTTCGTCGTTGATCTCTTGGAGTACCTCCTTGAGCACGTCGACTTGACCCATCGGCGTCCACGCCGATACGAGCTGCGCGCTGCTCCACACAAGCGTGAGGCCGTCAATGTCGCCGTCCAGAAAGAGCGTCGAGAGATCCGTAGTCGTCACGGGCCCTTTCTGCTGCTTGGCCTGGTCATAATAGTACCACTGCGGCAGCGTCTGCCATAGCACGCACGTCGTGCCAAAGACGAGCGTCTCTTTGGCCAGCTGCCACGTCGGCAGGAGCTCGGCCAGCTCGGGCGACCAGACGTAGTTGTCGCCGGTCACGAGGCCGCGCCGGAGCAGCCGCTTGAGCACCTGCTCGTCCAGCGGACCCTTCTGCGCGCCTTGGCCATCCACGTACAGCCACTTCTTGCCCTTCAAGGCCGCGACGTCGACGGTCGGCTTGTCCATCGTGCGTTGACCGTGGCTCGAGTGGCACCAATCGTGGCGCTGGATTTCATTCTTTTTCAGCCAATGCGAGAGGCGTATCGTCCCCTATTTCAGCCAATCGAAGGCGCGAGAGCAACCTGTAGAACCACATACAGTATGCGTTCTGGACCGATCTGGATCGGCCTGTCGCAGGTGGAAGAACCCAACTCTGGATCTGGCAACTGGCATCGACGCAAGCACACGCAGGCACGCAGCAGATCGCGCTCCGGCGCCCACAATGCCAGAATTGGCGCCGTGGACACGCGCTATTGGGCCAATCGGCTAATTGAGCACCCATCTCGACGGCCGACCCGACTGCGTTATCCGAGCATGTGGAAGCGTACTAGAGTAAGGCAAGTCGCAGGGCAACCCTACCGACCACATCGGGTTTTGGCAGGCTATCGAAGATGAGAGGTTTTCACAAACAGAAGAGATATTGAATCGTATATGTTGGTACATGCATTATGCACGCCTATGCATTGTGGCAGTACAGACCGGAGAAGAGGCCAGCAGCATATCACAGGCTTCGGTTGTAGAAAGGGACTTGGTTGTTGCCCCAACCGCCGCGACTTCATTCTGCATTCTCGCTGCTCGCGTTCATCAAGAGCATTAAGAAGATGCAATTGGCCCTCGAGCTCGAGATTGTGGCGGCGCGCATCGTCGGCCACCGGACCATGGTCTTGGCGACCGAGAAGAGCCCGTTTGTCGAGTATGAGATTGAGATCACTACGCCCAAGGGCCTCGTCGTGTGCTGGAAGCGCTTCCGCGAGTTTCGGTGCGCGTTTCATGTGTTTCAACCACGTCGCTGACGCTCTCTAGGATTTTGCGCCATGGCCTCAAGCGCACGAGCAGCGGGCGTCTGCCGAGCCTCCCGAAGCGTCGATGGCTCTGCAACCTCTCGACCGACACGATAGCCGAGCGCAAGTTGATGCTCAACCAGTTCCTCTCGCAGCTCGTCGCCAACGAAGCGCTGCAGTGGGGCATTCAGATCGATGCGACGCTCGCGGTGCTCAAGCGCCGACGCCTCTCGGTCGACCGCAAGCTCCTCGACAGCTTTACGAGCACGACGCTCGCGTCGCCGCACTGGGATCTCGCGTGAGATACCTGCATTGCGCCATCTTCCCGTTAATCTTATTTTCAATCGTTGCTTATTCCTATTGCATCGTGCCCAACTCCGAGGCGACAATGGGGCCGTGCTCGTTCGCAGCACGTCGACACCCAGCTGGCTATGATGGCACACGGAGCATCGTCCGAGCCCCAGAGAGATCGCCAGAAAGGGCTGTGGATCAAGACAGCGATCAGGGCGGGTGCACCCTAGCCCTAACTGTAGGGACAAAAATTTCAACCCCGTCGTTCGTCAGCGACCGACGACACTTGCCATGGAGGCCACTCCACGACCACGTCAAGCTGCCATCGCCGTCCATCGATCCGTCGACGTAATCTTTCAAGCTGGCACCAAATTCTGCACCGAATCGCTCGAATGGTATACTTCAATGCATCCCGTGCCACCTCGCCACCAGCTCCCGAGCACTCGCCCCGTGCGAACTGCGTCATGCGCGCCAATGTGTTTAGGGTGCTCGACGCGCGCCATCGTGACGGATCCTGCTGACCACTCCATCTGTCCTTGATGGCATTGTTACCTTCTCGCAAAAGTCGTCGATCGAGAATGCGCCAGGATGGGGCCAGCCTAGCGCTGAACCCGATGGCACACTCTTTGGCGCGCACGTCTCTGTCGCTAGGCAGCCGAGACGCCGTGTCCAGTGGGCAGTGATACACTCCGTCGACGACTGCCATCAATACGTTGCATTTCGATTTAGATCTGGTCGAGGGGCTCAATGCCGAGCATCTGGAAGCACGTTTGCATGACCTTGAGCGTCGCTGTGCAGAGGAGGAGGCGCGAGTTTTGCTCCGGCACGCCGAGCACGCGGCACTTGGTGACAAAGAGCTGGACCTTCTCGGCAACGTTGTAGAGGTACGTGCAGAGGCGGTTCGAGCCGAGGTCCTTGTTGATCTGCGTGACCACGTCTTGAAACTGCAGCAGCTCGATGGCCAGTGCACTCTCGTGGGCGTCCTGGAGCGTGAGGATGCTCGGGCTCAACGCCGCCACGTCGACGCCGCTCTTGCGCACGATTGACGAGAGGCGCGCGTACGCAAAGAGGAGGTACACCGCCGTGTTGCCCGTCGTCGAGAGCATCTTGTCGTAGCTAAACTCATACGACGTCGTCGGGCTCTGGCTCAAGTCAAAGTACTTGACCGCGCCGTAGCCAATGCGCTCGGCGGCCGCGTCGACCTCGGAGGGCGGCAGCGACGTCTGGCCGGCCGCAATACGCGCGAGGAGCTGCTCCTTCATGCGCGTCTTGCTCTCGTCGAGGAGGTTGACAAGGCGAACAGTCTCACCCGACCGCGTCTTGAAGCGCTTGCCCGTCTCGTCGTTGACCGTGCCAAAGCCCACATGGTTGACACGGTGCTTGGTCGGGTCCAGAATGCCCGACATGGCGCCGACTTCAAAGAGAAGGCCAAAGTGGTCTTGTTGCGTGTAGTCCGTGTAAATGATGATCCAGTCGGCCTTTTGCTCGTGGAGGCGGTACCAGAGCGCAGCGATATCGGTCGTGTCGTAGAGGTACGAGCCGTCCGTCTTGACGAGCATGAACGGCTGCTTGTACTTGGACGTGAAGATGACCTTGGCGCCGTTGCTGTCCTCGGTAATCTTCTTGTCTTCGAGCATCTTGATGACGTTCGGGATGATTGGGTTGTAGAACGACTCGCCCATCTCGTGCAAGCTCACGTCGAGGCGGTCGTACACCTTTTGGAACTCGCGGCGCGAGATGTCGCAGAGCGTGGTCCAGACCTTGCGCGACTGCTCGTCGCCCGACTGGAGGAGCACGACCTGGTCCTTCGAGCGCTTGTGGAAGGCTTCGTCGTCGTCGAAGCGCTGCTTGGCGTTCTTGTAGAGCTGCGTGAGGTCCGTAATGTCGGGCATCTCTTCTTGCCATGTGGGAAAGACGTCCATGAGGTGGCAGATGAGCATGCCAAACTGGGTGCCCCAGTCGCCGACGTGGTTGATGCGGAGCACTTCGTGGCCCTGGAACTCGAGGATGCGGCACATGGCGTCACCGATGATCGTCGACCGAAGGTGGCCGACGTGCATGTCCTTGGCAATGTTGGGCGACGAAAAGTCGACCACGATCTTGAGCTTCTTGCCCGGGCTTGCACGCACGCCCTGCGTCAGAAGCATCGAGAGACGCGACCCGATAAAGTCCTGGCGAAGGAACGCGTTGATAAAGCCAGGGCCGGCGACCGAGAGCTTCTCGAGCACCGGGTTGACCGGCATGGCCGCGAGGATCGCGTTCGCCACGTCCCGCGGGCTGGCAGGAGCGCCCGGCGTGCCCTTGAGCGCCGTAAAGATGTTCATCGCGTTGTTGCACTGGTAATCGCCGTACTTGGTCGTCTTGGTGCGGGCCACGTCGAGCATGATCGAATGCTCCGAGAGCACGCCGGGATAGGCGGCGCGGATCGCGTCTTCAAAGAGGCTCTCGACGATGCCGAGGAGGTGGTCGAACGTCGTGCCCGACGCCATGGCCGGCGTCAACGGCACCGTCTTGCGCGGCGCCTGGCCGCCGTTGGCGACAAAGATGTCGGCGGCCGCTGCCGACGCAAGGGCGAAAAAGGCCGCCACGTACGCGCGCGCAGTCGGGAGCGGGTACGTGGCCGCCGGGAGCACCTCGAGCGCCTTGCGCAAGACGGGCGCGACGACAATGTCGGCGAGCGTGATGGCCGACCCGACGAGGAACGTCGCCGTTTGGATCTTGGCCTCAATCAAGGCCGCGAGCGCCGCCTTGTCACTGCCCGCTGCGGCCACACGGAGCACGCGTTCTTCCCACTCGACGTAGTCGTCGACCGCGAGGTCGTCAAAAGCGAGGCGGCCCGACGATGCCGAGATGTACCGGCAGATGCTGTTGGCCGTGTTGATCGTGCGGCCTTCGGGCGTCACGAGCTTGGGCGTCGTGGACGGCGTCGGCGCCTTCCGGAGTTCGAAGGCCGTCGCCGTCTCCTTGAGCGCGATCACGCACTTGAGCGCACGCTCGTTGAACGCGCCGAGCACGAGTTCCAGCGCCATCTCTGTTCGTCTCCGCTTGATGGCAATTTTGGAAATGCGATGGGCAATAGAATGCGCCACGATTGTAATTTATTTTATTTCCTCCAATATGCCATACAAAGTGTAAGCTATACAATAAAACGCGTGCATAATATTTTACGCCACACGTGCAAGATCGGGCAAAGCCACATGAATGGCCACAAGAAATCATCCGAGGCGCTCGGACCGCAAGCGCCCGCCGCCGGTGCTGTGGGACGAGGCGCGCCGGCCAGCGCAGCGACCGTTGCCGACGCCATGGGCGCCGGCTATACTCCTTGTGGCTCACGGCCCGACGTTTGGCTTGCGGGCTAAGATGGGACATATCATGGGTTCATGTTGCGGTGATTCGTGTCAATGGCTTTGGACCCGTCGACAGTGGTCAAAGCTGTCGACGCATGTGACTAGTCGTACGATAGAGTGGTGGACGCGCTGTGGTGGGCTGGCGTCTCGCACGTGAAAGCCGAGGGCTTGGGATTCTCGAAGGCCCGCCAACTGGTGACTGTCGATGAAAGATCGCTGGCTTTTCGGAAAGATCGCAACCAGATCTCAATTGGCTGTGGATCAAACGGCGGGTGGTGATGCGTACACTGCTGGCTGTGCTGTGCGCATGGCTGCTTGCGCTCGGCGTGCACGCCAAGACGACAATGACAGGTGATTTGATTGGCAATGACACATGGACCGTCACAACACGGTGTGCGTAGTCGCACGCAAGGAGCTGCTCTCGACAGGGCACGTCGAAGTGCTCAATGGCACTGCGGGGGCGCTGGCATTCGCCTTCTACCTCACTGCGCCGGCCGACTTGCATTACGCAATTGTCGACTCTGGTCGTGACGCCTTGCTCGCTGAAGACATCAAGGCCGCGGCCATCGGCAACGCGTCGGCAATGGGCGTCGTCGCCGCGAGCACCCTCGTGTCCGAGACGGCGCAGCGCTTGCGCTGGTCCGTGTCATCGCTCACGCCCAACGCCTCGTACGACGTGTACTTTGTCGCAGAAGTGTCCAAGAGCAATGGCGTCTTTGGCACGGTGCGAGATTGCACTTTGAGTTTGCCCTTTATCGTCATATCGTATTAGGTCGTGTCGGTCAACGGCACACGAACGCACCCGGACGCGCCGCTCGTGCGCGTCCTCGACCACTGGGCTCAGCATGCGACGACAACCATGGCCGCGCTCTCCATCAACGTGACGTTTCCGGGGCTCTTGCACTACGTCGTCGTTCCCGTCGAGGCCAGTCAGAACTTATCGTCGCTCGACATTTGGCACAACATGACGGGCGCGACGCGCAGCGCGTATATCGCCAACGGCACGCTGGTCAACATTACGCAACTCGCGCCGTTCACCACGTACGATGTGTGGTACGTCGCTGAAGTCGACGGCAGCCACGGCGTGCTCAGTGCACCGGGGTACATTGAGCACGCGTTCACGACGTTTGCGGTCGCGCCAAGCCTCGGACGCCTCCAGTGCGCGCCGCTGGACGCGTCCACCTCGAGCATCCAAGTCACCTTCCGCCTCGAGTTTCCTCGCGTTGCGTTCGAGAGCCACAATGTGCGAGCGTCGTTGAAAGCGCTCCAGTACCACATCCACTACATCGCGAATAGCGACGACGACGCGGTGTTTGCAGACGGGCGGGCAATCACGTCGGCTGCCAACTCGACGACGCAGTCCGTCGGGACACTTGGGTTCTCGCTCCCGACGCAACCCACCGATTCTGCGGACCTCGTCTCGGCGACCGCGACGTCGGTCGACGTTGCTGTCAACGTCTCGTCGCTCAACGTCGGGACGACATACGCGCTGGCGTTTGTGCTCGAGACGGTGCAGAGCGACGGCGTCTTCAGCAATGTCGTGGCGACCTCGGGCATGTGTGCGACGCATGCGACGGCGCCGCGTGTCGACGCGGTCACCGTCATGGCCCAAAACACCACGACGGACGTTTTGGTGGCGACCGTGACGCTGGACCATCCGGGCGACGTCCATTTCGTCATTGGGCTGCCTCGCGCGTTTCGCGAAGTGCCACTTGGAGTGCAGTCGCAGCTGGCGCCGTACCTCACCACGTACAATGCTTCGTTCACGCACTTGACGGTGCACGCGTTGACCAATGTCAGCGCCCCGATCGGCACGCTGCTCGACGTGCACACGCATGCCAACCAGTCGTACACCGTTCAGTTGGCGTTGGGCGGTTGGGAGGCGTCGACAACATACGGTCTTCTCGTCTTTGCCGAGACGAGCGACAGCCATGGCGTCTACAGCGCGCCGTTTGCCAACGTCGAGGCGCGCACGCACGAGCGCGCCGGTGACGTTACCGTGGCCGCGTCCAGTCCTGTACGCAGCTCGACGTCCCAACTCGAGATCCACGCATCGTCGTCGGACCGCCGCGATATGCTCCGTGTTTGCTACACGAGCGATAGCAATCGCACAATGAAAGATCACTGCACCGAGCTGCCGTCGACTGGCATTCTCGGAAACCTCTCGGCCGACACGCTCTACGATGTTCAAGTGCACTCCGTCACGGCGTATGGCGTCGAGAGCGACCGCGTGGTTCTGGCCCCGCTGCGCACCCACGCTACCGCACCCACGGTCGAGGCTTTGACGCTGCGGCACCGCCCCGGCGTCGCGTCCGTCCTCGACGCGAGCCTCACGACGACCGCGGTGGGCTTTGTGCATTCGTTGATCGTGCCGACGACCGAATGCGACGATTGGACGCTACCGTCGAAAGAGGCACTCCTAATGCATCCCAAGCGGCGCGTGGAGCTGCCACGTCATGCGCGGACGTCGTTGAATTTGGAAAACTTGGAGCCCAACACATCGTACTCGCTCTTCGTGCTCCTCGAGACTGCGTACGCGGGCAACACGTCGTCCGAGGTCTATAGCGACTCTCTCGCCGTGCAAAACCTCACAACATTCGCGCTGGCGCCAACGATTTTGCAGTCGGTTGTGCTGCCCGTGAACGCGTCGGTCGATTCGATCGTCATCACCGCCAACCTCTCGTCGCCCGGGCGGGTGCACTACATGGTGAGCGACATCGACTTTGACGACCCGGCTGTGCTTCGGACCAGCAACGTTGTCCAGCCGAACGTTCGCCGAGGCTTCTTTGACGTCACTGAGCGCATTTACGAAGCGCGCAATGCTACGGTCCACGGCGTCAACGTCACCGAGTGGCACCCGCTTGACGTTTACAACAACACGGTGACGCTCGAGGCGCTCGCCAGCGCCACGTTGTACCACGTCTACTTGGCGACCGAGACGTTTCACTCGGACGGCGTCTTTGGCGTCGGGCTGCCGCCGCCCCATGTGGTCACGACGCATGCGCCGCCACCGACGTTCGACCTGCTGCGCGTGACGCCGTCGGTCGGCACCGCGACGTCGATCGAGCTCGAACTTGGCCTCTCGTCGTTTGGCAACGTGCACTACATTCTACTCCACCGGGGACTCTACGTGGTGCAAGACACGCGCAATGCCACCGAGATGCCAGCGAACGAGACTTGTCCGATCAGTGCACTGGAGGTGACGACGCTGACCGCCAATGACGTCAAGGCCGCGACGCTCGACCGCCTCGGGCTCGGGGTTGTCGACAACGGCACGCTCTCCGTGTCGCGCGACGACTGGCAAAAGCACCACGGCGCGTCCAAAACGTTTAAATCGCTGCGTCCCGGATCTCTCTACGAGCTCTGCGCGGTGCCGGAGACTGACGCGAGCGAAGGTGTCTTTGACGCTGTCGTGTGCACGCCCGTGCGCACGCACGCCGACTACACCAACCTCTCTCTAGCGTACGACGTACTCTCAGCGTCGCCCATCGATGGGACGACGGATGGTGTGCTTTTGACGTGGCAAATGACGTGTCTACGTGACTGTGGCCGGGATCCCTACTTTGTCTTGACGAGCGACGCCTTTGGCGGCCGATCGGACCTGCACCTGCCACGGGACACACCTTTTCACCGCGTGGCGCCCGGACAGCAGAGCGTCGTGGCCGCCGGGCCCATGCAACTGTCAAACACGGTGGCAAGCGACGCTAGTGACGCGGTCGTCGTCACGTACCACGCCGAAATCCGTCATTTGCAGCCGCATGCGTCGTACCATGCGTTTTTTGCGGCCGAGACGCAGGGCAGTGACGGCGTCTTCTCGACGGTCAACGCCAACTTCAACGCCACGGCCACCACCACGGTGGCTGTGACAACCCATGCGCTCGCGCCGCGGCTTCGGGCGTACCGGGCCGAGCCGACGTACGGCAACACGACCGGCATCGACGTTGTCGTCGACTTGGACGGTGTCGAGGATGGCGCGATTGTCCATACGCTTGTGACGCCGGCCAACTGCGCCATGACAAACCCACGCTGTGTACTGTTGAACGAGACACATGACGTGGCAGCGCCGCAGCGCGAAGTGAAAGACCATGTTCTATTTCTCGAAAACGGACTATTGCTAGCGCCCAATACGTCGTACGATGTGTTTATTGCAACCGAGACGGTCGGCAGCCACGGCGTCGTGTCGATGTGGCGTCGGACGTCCGTGCGAACCCACCCACCGGCCCCGCGGTTCACAAGCGTCACCGCCAAGCCCAAGGCAGCGTCGACGACCGAATTGGAGCTCAGTTTCGCCTTGTCCGCGCCTGGCGTTGTGCACTTTATGGTCAGCGACGACAGCGAACACATTGAGGTGGCGTCGGTCTACAACGTAAGCGCCAAGAAACCGCGCGGTAGCAACGACGACTGGCACCGGTACGGATACGAAAAAGTCAAGTGGCGTCGGTCGGTGCCGGCGTCGACCACGCTGCATACCGAGCTGCTGCAGCTGCTGGTGCAAAACACCAACTACTCGCTGCACTTGGTCGTCGAGACGAACGGCGACGCGGGGATCTACGGCCCCATCACGGTCCTCCGCAACATTTCGACGTTTGGCCACGCGCCTTTGCTTCTCGCCCACGAGGCGGCGCCGACGCCAGCGTCCACGTCCCAGCTGCGCTTGCACTACAAGCTCAACACGCACGGCGTGCTCCACTGTCTTGTCACAATGGCCTCGCGCTGGCGGCCCACGGCGCCTGACGTCATCTATGGCAACGTTCTCGGCTTGGACCAGACCATCGTCGCACAAAAGAGTCTGCTCGGTGACGCGGGGACGTTTGACGTCGATGTGCCCTTGGCTAACACGACGTACGACGTGCTGCTCGTGACCGAGACGGTGGGCAGCCACGGTGTCTACGGCACGGTCGCGCGCCTCGACGCGATCAAGTCGTCGGACGTGGCGCCGGTCGTCGACCGGGTCAACGTCTCGGCCACCGACGCCCGCAACGACGCTCTCAATGTGCACGTTGTACTCAACACGGTGGGCATCATCCACTACTCGCCGGCGCGCAAGCTTGCGACGCCAACGAGTGACCGCACCAAGACGCATGTGCTCGGGAACGCATCGATGCTCGAGGCAACGTTGCTCGTCGACGGCCTAGCGGAAGGCACGCTGTACGATATCTACATTCAAACCGAGACACTCGGGAGCTTTGGGGTGCTGGGGCCGCTGCTGCGGGTGGACAATGCTGTGCCGACGCATGGCCCACCGCCGCTGATTCTCGAAGAAGTCGATTGCGCCTACGCGCCGGCCTGCGACGCTTTGGGCCGTGAACCGGTATGGCGACGGGTTCGATGTGGTCCGTTTTATAACCCTACACCTAGTGCTTGGCTGTCACCAACACCTGCGGTGAGTGTCTCATCGGCTTTGTGGGCGAGAGTGGCGCTCACAACACGGCGTGCACGGAACCATCCCAAGACGCGCCCAAGCCTCACAAAGGTACAACTGTCGATCGCTCCGTGTCAATGTATCAACACACATTGGCATAGTGAAAAAGTCGATTGGCATCAAGATTAGCAGTGTCAAGGCCCACACCGAGCCCAAGTCGGGGGAGTCGCCACCGGCGTCCGTCGCGTCTGTCGGCGTCTCGTCCGTCAGTGTCGCACCGGTCGACGCAGCGCCGATGCCGTCTGCAGACCCGCTACCGGCAGATGTTCTACCTGGCGCAGCAATGACAGCGGAACTGTGTCCTGACCACGCCCACGCGTCGCTCACCAACGCCGGCGCCTGCGAGTGCGACGACGGCTACCTCCTCGACAATGGCGTGTGCACGTCCTTGTGTCCGCCCAACTCGTTTCCATCCGGACCGGGCAAGTGCCAGTGCGACCCGGGGTTTGCGCTCGATGCGCTCGGGACGTCGTGCGTCCTCGCCACCACGAGCGGTCTCGTCGGCATTGGGCTTGGCTCGTAGACGATAATAACGTTTGCCAATATGACGTAGTAGGGCTCGGGGTGTGTGCTAAATTAGGCCAACGTTGGCGGGCGTTGGCTATTTCGAGAGAGTCGGCGTGGGTTTCGGCCGCACTCAGTGCCAATTCGGAGGCGGTCGCGACGACATCGATGCCCGTCGGAACTGAGGCCAAGAAAGGCGTCATGGGCCGCCTCAAGTCCAAGATCTCGAGCAGCCTCGGGCGCAAGCCGCCAAAGGACGCGGCGAACGCGTTGACCAACCAAGGCAGCTCGCCGTCGCTCGCGGTCGACGACGAAGACGACGACGACGACGATATCGAGCACCACGATTCGGAGATCGACGCCAAGGGCGACGACGACCACCTCAGTTCGTCGACCGAAGACGCGACCTCCAACAATGAGCCGCCCGCCGATGTGCTCGCCGATCTCGTCGTTGTGGGCAAAGCTCCGGTGGAGCCGTCGCTCATGGGCCAGCCGCAGCAGGATGCATCGGTGCCCGGCCCGTCCGCCGACGACACGACCACCGACGGCGCACCGCCATCGCCGGTCAAACGGGCACCGGCGTCGCCCATGAAACGGCCACCGGCGTCCCCAGCCAAGCGGCCCGTGGGCTCACCCATGAAGCGGTCGACAGCACCGACATCGCCCTTGTCACGTCCCGTGGCCTCGCCGGCGAAGCGCGCGATGGGGTCGCCGGTCAAGCGTCCCGCGGCCGCATCGCCCGCCAAGCGCGCCAGCATGGCGGAGAGCGACGGCACGAACCAAGACATGGCGCCAGTCGCCAAACCCAAAAAGTCGCGGGCGCCGTCGTTCCATGAAAACGCGCCGATTCTGGCGTCGGCCTATATGGGCGAAGAGCCGCCGCCCGAGACGAGCGGGCCGACGCTGGCGGCCGAGACGCCGTCGTCGCCCGATGCACCGCCGTTCGACGCCGGTGCCGCCATCACGTCGACGTTTGGCGAACGTGTCGCGCGGCTCTTGGGCGCCGACCCGTGGGGCGACCGTCAAGATGGCTTTGACGCGATCGGCATCTTTGTCAAGAAGCTCGATGCGTCGGCACCGGCGTCGACGCTGAGTGCGGCGCTCGCCGCCATCAACTGCGGCGTCGTCGACCGCGTCGCGCCCGTCATGTACTGCGCGCTCGAGTGCCTCCAGCACGTGCTCGCCGCCTTTGCACCGCTCGTGAGCGCCAAGCCCAAGCGGTTTGCGTCCGTGCATCCACAGCTGCACGCTCTCTTGCAGTCACTCCTCGGGAAGCTCCACGACTCGAACAAGCGCACGCAACGCGAGGCGCTGCATGGTATCTTGCGGCTGCTCAAAGCACCCAAGCTCCCGGCACTCCCATTGCTCATGACTACGTTTGAGGCCGAGCCACTGGACCGCCCGCGCCTCGAGCTCATCCACGACATGGTCGCCGACCTCGGCTTTAGCGACACGCTCACGACCGAGCGGGTGCTCAGCTGGACCGTTCCCGCGCTCAAAATCGTCGACGAAAAGACGCGGAAACTGGCGTTGGAGATTGCGGCTTCGACCATCGTGCGGTCGGTCGACGCCAAAGCGACGCTCGAAGGCCTCGTCGGCGTCAAGCCTGCAATGCTCAAGGTTCTCGCGCGACGCGTCGACGAGATCAAGACCGAAGGGCCGGGCAACAACCACGCACCCGAGATGCCATCGGCGCCCACTGCCGCCGGTAGTAACAACAACAATAGCAGCCACAACAATCAGCAAGCCGAGCCCGAACCCGTGCTCATCGAGGTGCTCCGAGAAGACGATGCGGCTGTGCTAGCGATGGTGGTCGCGGCCATGGGCACCGCCGAGACGGTCGTCGGGCCCGTCGCGTGGCGCAAGCTCGAGAGCAAGACGTGGAGCGACCGGAAAGAGGCGCTCGCCGACATTGAAAAGGCCGTCATCGAAACCAAGTCGGACCTCCGCGACGTCAAACCCACGGCCGGCAGCCCGACCCAAGCTCACTTTGTCGGCTACGCCGCGGTGGTCCACCACTGCCTCTACGACTCGATCGCACCAGTCATCAACGGCGCCATCGACCTCTTCTCGACGCTGATCAAGATCTACGGCCCGCACATCGACTGGCGCGATGCGCTGGTGAAGGACTTGACGTTGCAGTGCATCGGACGGCTACTCCGCGGCATGCAAAAGCCCAACAACCGGACGTCAAAAGGCAGTTGCCGCTGCCTCCTCAAGCTCGCGCGCCTCAACGTGCACACGATGCAAGGAGCCATTGCGTGCGTGTTTCATAAAGAGACGGACGCGCTCGTGCAAATGCACGTGCTTCGGTTGCTCGTGCCCGAGTTTGGCTTGACGACCGACGCCGACGCCGGCGCGCTGCAGCTGCACGCGTCGCTTGTGCTAAGTGCCGTCGCCAAAGCCCTCGCGCACTCGAACGAGAAGGTCCGGCGCGCCGCCATGGACGTCGCGCTTTGCAGTCAGCGCCTTATCGGCAAGAGCCGCGTGCTTCAACGCCTCAGCGACGTCAAGCCCGCGACGCTCAAGGAGCTCGAAAAGACCTTTGTCGACATCGAGATTCCTGACGGCCGACCGGCGACGGTCAACTCGCCACCAACACCGGCCGAAAGCCTCGGTCTCGGCGGCCCCGAGATGACGGCGTCCCGACGCACGCTCTCGAGCGCACCCGTGGCCGGTGGCAAGACCAATGACGACGCAAGGGCGATGGACTGGACGCCACGGCCCGTCCCGAGCGTTCTTAGCAATGAAGAAGAGAGCTTGATGGACGACATTCTCGGTCTCTGAGACGCTCGGACATACTACGTGTGTATACCTGAACGCATTGAGCAACGTGAATACATAACACAAGACAACTTGACCACGAACGCACGTTCATAGACCACACGTTGTCAATCTCATGCAGGAACCATCGAGGTTGCGCCTGGGGTTAGGTCACCGGGCTTGCGCACTGCACAGCACACGATATACGCAACTGGCAAATGTGGTATGTGCGTTCAAGACTCGCCCGTCCAGGCAACTAGACACCAAAGACGCGGAGTCGCAGTGTGTCGGTCGGTGTCGCGTGGTAGGTGTAGATGCCGCCGCCTTGGCGCTCGTCGTGGAGCCAAAGACCTGCGTAGACGTTGCCGTCGGCGTATGTCATGGTGCCAGGACCGTGGCGGCGCCCGTTGGAGAAGCTCCCAACAAACACATTCCCATCGGCGTATACGATGCGCCCGGCACCCGACCGAACGTTGCGCTCCCACGCGCCTTCGTACCGGTCGCCGCCCTACGTCATCGGTGCTATCAACGACCCAATGGTGCTAGCAGCGTACGTGAGCCTGGAAGACCCCGTCGCCGTGCTGCGTCTCGTCGTCAAAAGCGCCGTCGTAGTAGTCGCCGTTGGGCCAGAGGTAGCGTCCGTGGCCATGCCGCTTGCCCGACACCCAATCGCCGTCGTAGATGGTCCCGTCCACATACGTATACGTGCCTCGGCCATGTCGAATGCCGTGGTGCCACTCGCCCTCGTAGGCCTCTTGGAGCGAGCTGCCGGGGCGCCACGTGTACATGCCGATGCCGTGAAACTCGTCGTGGACCCAGTCGCCGTCGTAGACGTCACCGTTCGCGTAGATAAAGGTGCCGCTTCCGTGGCGCGTGCCGTCGACCCAGTCGCCGTCGTACGTGTGGCCGCTGGAATAGACCATTGTGCCGCGGCCGTTGATGCGGCCGAACGCAAACGCGCCCAGGTACACGTTGCCGTTGGGCCATTTGAACTCGCCAAAGCCATGCTTTTGCGCCTGCACAAAGTCGCCAGCATAACTGTTGCCGTTGAAATACGTGATGCGACCTTTGCCGTGAATGTGCCCGTCGACAAACGCGCCTTCGTACAGCGTGCCCGACGCCCAGGCGTACACGCCATTGTGCCCGTCGTACTTGTCCGAGGCGAACGGACCCGTGTACACATCCCCGGTCGCGACATGGCGGTAGACGCCGAGACCGTTGGCCATATTGTCGGAAAACGTGCCGTCAAAGATGTCGCCGTTGGCAAAGACGTAGCGGCCGCGCCCGTGCTTGAGGTTGCGGCGCCAGTGGCCGACGTACTTTTCGCCCATCGCCGATACAAAGACGCCCGCGCCGTCGCACATGTCGTTGGCCCACGTGCCCGAGTAGATGCTGCCGTTGGCGTAAAAGCAGACGCCGCGGCCGTCGCGCACATCGCGGACCCAGTTGCCCTAACCCGACTTCCGATCGCAACATATGTTGTCGCACAATACCTTGTAGACTTCGCCGTCTGCCGTGAGGATGCCGATACCGTCGGCTCGCCCGTGCACAAACATACCGCGGTACGAGTTGCCATTCGCCTGTCAACCGATACGGTATACGGGTTGCGATCGACTTGTCTGAGTACCTTGGTAAGGGATCCAAAGCCGTGGTGGACACCATGGTCCCAGTCACCAACGTACACGTCGCCGTTGGCACTCGAGTGCACGCCGCGTCCGTGGATCTCACCGGCGTCCCACTCGCCCTCGTACGTCTCGCCGTTTGGAAACGTGAGAAGACCGACGCCGTGCTTGACGCCGTCGCGCCACTGCCCCTTGTAGGTTTTGCCGCACGCGCTTTCCCAGAGCCCAAAGCCCTACTCCCGGTTCGAGACCACAGAGCGCAGAAATGTAGTTGTACGTGGCGAAACCCGTTGGCCCATTGCCCGCGATACTGGTCGCCGTTGGCGTAGTAGTACTCGCCCCACCCGTGGCATGCACCGTCGGCAAAGTCACCGACGTAGAGACTGCCGCTCGGGTACTGGGCTTTTGCAAACGCACTGGCAACGCCTTCGAACGCGCTGAGCCACATGACGTGGTCGAACGCCGTCGAGTCGCACGGGCGAATGGCCGTCGTCGCGAGTAGGAGCCCGGACGTGTCGGTTGTATCGCGGGGTGGCTCCATGGAAGCCGTTCTCGGGCGCAAGGACGCGCGTCGCACCTATCCCTACGATCAAGCTATCGACGCATCAAGGTGCTTGATACCGCGCTGTCACGGCGCTTGGGCGACGCCACGGGGGGTACAACGTCATGTGTGTCGTGTGCCGTCACTGTCGACGCACGACGCGTCGCGAGTGGCCAGTCGCGGGCGTCAACAATAGCCGGGGTCGTCATGCCCACGGCACAGTAGGGACAAATCGGGAACGAGTACCCGACGTTCCGCGCTTGGCAGACGTCGCAGTACCATTTGTGGGCGCTGCGCTTGTGTTGGTGAATCTCGTGCATCGTGGTCGCGACGTAGCCGCACTCGGCCCAATCGCAGTGCAAGAACGCCGTGTAGGGCGGCGGCGGCTGCCACTGCGAGTCTTGCGTGTACATTTCAAAGTAGAAAAACTCGGTCGTCCACGGGTCGCACCACTCTTGCCAGCTGCCCACCGTGCGCACGAGCTTGCTCCGCTCCAAAAGCTGCTTCATCGCCCACGGGCTCTGCAGCACCATGTTTTGCTTGCGGCGCTCACGCTGCGCCGCCCGACGTCCCCTAAACACAAGGTCGCTACATTTAACGAATGCCAACGACGTACAAGAGGCCGCGGGCGACGCGCTGGATCTCGATTGCAGCATAGTGCCGTCGTCGCACGTCGGCGGCCACGAGACGCCCTTTCCAGCCGCGGTACATGCTCTGGAGCGACGTCGCCACGTAGTTGCGCATGTTGGTCAGCGTCTCTTCCTGCACGCGGGCATTCTGAAGGAGCCGGTCGCGGCACTTGTCGATCGCGACCAAGCGCTGCTCGTAGATGCGCCGGAGGATCGCGTGGTCGGCGAGCGCACGCACTCGTAGGTGCATGTGGCGTTTCAAAAGATTTGCGTTGAGAAAGGGCAATGTCCCGTGTAACCTTACAGCGTACGGTACTACACTGGGCCGGAGATACTGGGGTAGGATAGGACGCGGGGTCGATCCATGTTCGAATCGATTAAACGAGATTGGGGCTACGACGACGACGACAACTTGTCGAAACACAGATACTGTAGTACAACGACGGTGGGGCCGGACGCTACGACGTTGGGACAGAACCCAAGTCGCGCGGGCGACACGGCGCAAGCCGCGCTTTTTGATATCGCGCAGCGAGCGTCGATGGCACGACGATCGAGGGCGGTGTCACGACGAGGTGGCGAAGGATCACGCTCGGGCGCTCCGACACGCTGTCGTTGTCGTCGTCCATGGGGAACCAGCAGTGTCCAAAGATCTCGGTCGGACGCAAGTGAATGTTCCACGCTTTCGAGGTGCCGACGACCGATATCGACGGCCCGCCGCCGTAGTAGTGCTGAAACACCTTCCACACGTCCGGGTGAATCGCATGGTACGCGCCAAGAGGCAACTCGGGCTTGGGCAAGAGCTGGCCGCGATGAAACGAGAGCAGCGAGTGGTTGGCGATCGCGCCCGGGTGGTCGCCGCCCGCGGTCACGTACGCAAGCCACCGACTTAGCCACCACGCCGAAATGATGTAGTAGAGGTCTGACCGCAGCGACGCGCGCGAGATGGCCATGATCGTGCCATACTCGTCGGCTGGGTGCGGCTGCTGAAAGAACAAAGGCGACGGTTTGCCGGCTTTGCTGTGCACGCGGGCGTCGCCGAGCGCCTGGAGCATGTGCAGCACGTCACCGCACAGGCGGCATGTGCGCTTGGACGCCTTGTCAATGTAGGCGCGGTGGGGCGAGCAGGCGGCGCACACGAGGCGGCCGCAGAGGCGGCAGTGGTGCTTCCACTTTGTCCAGAGCTGGAACGGCGAGTGGCAAATGACGCAGAGCGCGCTCTCGCTCTTCTCCATCCACGCTGCGTCGGGCGAGGCGACGGCGTTCGGAAAGGCGAGCGAGAACACTTGCTTGCTGCGACGCATGTTGCGATCTGCGGTTCGACGCGCAGCCTCTGGCGAGATGGCACGCGCGCGGAAGGCGGCTGCACATCCCCCGGTTCGAAAAAATCTCACCAGCCTCCGACAGTGACGTTGACAACGGGTAGAGGATTCGAATGCTCGTGGCGCCACGTATTCAACATACGGTTCGAAAGCCAGTCGCAGCTTCAAGCATGAAGTGCCACAATCTAGAAGCACCCGTGCAAGAAGCGATGACATGCTTGACTGATGGGGCGACCGTAGAACATGACGAATTTGTCCACACGTTGGTCATCTGCCAGCGCCTTCAAGAGCCAGCGTTGCCAGTCACCAATCGCGCTTCGACAGGCTGCTCGTCGGAGCGACCAAGGCCAAAATACCCACCGATTCTCTACTTAAATGTCTTTGGTACAACCCAGAGCAAACCACGCGAGCGAGATCACACGACGTCTCGTCCAGTCGCACAATCAGATCTTAGTCGTCGGTCTTTACGAGGCCGCGGGCGGCAAAATCATCGGGCCAGAACGAGCTCGAGTACGGCGCGGTGAACGCGGTGGTGACGTCCGGTGGGTGGTACCAGTAGTTGAGTGCAAGATGGCCTTTGTCCGACGCGCCATGCTCCGTAAACGACGTCACTTCATGGAACCACGAGGCAGGAAGGTACAGCATATCGCCGACGCCGAGCTCGCAAGTCGTCGCCTTTGCGCTTGCAAACAGAGGAAACTCGGCCGCAAGCTCGGTTACGGGGCGCGACGTCTTGACGCGGCTAAAGTTGATCGGGTACTTGATTGTCTTGTCGACGACCCGACGCACGGCGAGGTCATCTTCAAACACATCCGCATCTTCGTCCGCATCTTGGTCCGCATCCTCGTCGTCATCCTCGTCACCATCTTCATCGTTGTCATTCCACTCGACGTCCATGGCGGCTTCCATGGCCTCTTCCAGCTTGGCTTCCGCCGCAGTGACACGCTCGGCCGCGCCGTGAACGCCATTTTCCAAGTCGGCTTCGGCTGCTTCGAGCTACATCGATCGATCGTCGGATATCCTGCAGGACATGCGAAGAAGCGTACCTCGGCTTCGGCGTCGCGCTGGGTCTTGGCGACGAGAGCCGCTTGCTCCGAGAGCGGGTCGGCGCCGTACGCTGTCGTGGGCTCGCCCTCGTAGTTGATGCGGCCGTTCTCGTGCACTTGCAGCAGCGATCCGCGCGTGTACATGGCCTCGACGTCCGACGGCGCGTAGAGACGAAAGTGCTTTTTCCCGCGCAGCAAAATGTACAAGTTGTCATGGTAGTCGTGGTGCAGTCCGGTCGTCGACCCATCGACCGCATTGCCCATCCAGACGTTGATGTTTTGCGGTACGAGGTGGCCGAGCAGCGCCGGCGTCAGCGGAAAATCGTGCGCGAGCTGCGCAATGAACGGCGCCATGAGGCCGGGCCGGCCAGTCTCGGGATCGGCCTCGACGTCCTGCGTCGTCAGGTAGTGCAGCATATCGCGCTGCTCCAAGAGGTCCAAGAACGTGCGAAACGTCATGGGCACCTCGTTGCCCTTCCCAAACGAGTCGGACGGCGAGCTGCGCTCCTCCACCATGAGCGGCGCGTCGCCCGCCGTGGCCTTCAAGTACTCGTTGGTCCACTTCACCGGCGCAGTAAACGCCGGGTCGGTGATGTAGCCACGGAGCACGACGGGCCGGCGCGCTGCCACGTACTCGGCGTAGAAGCGCTGAGGGGTGATGCTCGCCGTGTCGATGACGTCGAGCTCGTAGTTGTGGGTCGGCACTTCCCAGCCATTGTAGCGCACCTTGCCACTGCGCGTCTGGACCTTCTTCGCCTTGCCGCTGGACGCGCTGGGCAATGGCGCGGCCACGCGCTTGGTGCGAGTCGACGCTGGCATTTGAATCCGAGTGCGTATCTGCGTACCGCCATCGATTGGTCCGTATATCCGGATTACCGGATACGAAGCGCTTGCCATGCGACGGGATTGGCTCGTATCGACCAATCAAAGCGCTTGAAGCGAGGGATTTCGACCAATCCACGCGCATGCATGATCAGGATAGAAACACCCCACCATTCCATCTTGACGCCCGAATCGGGCGTCAAGATGGCATTGGACGGCCCGATGCAATGCGAACAATCATGTGCCAAAACCGAGGGCTATACATAAATTCTATTGACGAGTGTACATGGACCGACATTGAGCCTAGCCAAAGTGGAAGCTTTGGCCTTGGCCGCCGAAGCCGCTGTGACCACGGCCACCGTAGCCGCCGCCGCCGCCCATACCACCGAAGCCGCCACCGCCAAAGCCGCCGCCGCCAAAGCCGCCGCCGCCGCCGCCCATGCCACCGCCTTGGCCAGAGAAGAACATTTGGAAGATGTCGTTGGGGTTCATGCCACCCATGCCGCCCATGCCGCCCATGCCATCGCCGTCGAGGTCGTCAAGGTCGACGCCAGAGTCGTAGCGCTGCTTCTTCTGCGGGTCCGAGAGCACGGCGTAGGCCTCGCCGACGTCCTTGAACGAGGTTTCGGCCGCCTTCTGTTCGTCTTCCGTCTTGTTCGAGTGCCGATCCGGGTGGTACTTGAGCGCCGACTTGCGGTATGCCTTCTTGATCTCGGCGTCCGACGCCGACGGCGACACGTCCAGAATCTTGTAAAAGTCTTTCCGCTTGGCCTTCTTGAGCTCGAGCTTCGTCTCACGAATGTAGCCCGCGTACTGGCGCTGCGTGTCTTCGCCGACGAGCTTGGACGCGGATTCGTACTCACGGAGCGCCTGTTCGAGGTTGTCCTTGCCGCCAATGTCGCGCAAGCACTGGGCCTTGCGTATGTACGCCTTGACGTACGAGCTGTCATAGTAGATCGCCTTGTCGCAGTCCTTGATCGCCTCTTCGTTTTGGCTGAGCTTCGACAAGGCCGCGGCGCGGTTGCAGTGCAGCTTGGCGTTGTACGCCTTGTTGGCGGGATCGATGAGGAGGCACTGCGAGTACGCATCCGCGGCTTCCTGGAAGCGACCACCCTTGAACGCATCGTTGGCGGCTTCCTTTTGCGAGTCGAGCTGGCGGATGCGCTTGATTTCCTTCATGAAGCGACCGTTGTCCGGGTCCGAGCGCAGCGCCTGCTGCAAGTGCTTGATGGCGCTCGTAAATTCGCCCTGAAAGTACAAGCACTTGGCGCGGAGGTAGAGCACGTCCGGCGACGCCGAGTCCGACCGCATGAGCTGCGTAAGTGCAGCAAAGGCTTCGTCGTAGCGCTCGCAGCCGATTAGTGCTTCGGCGCGCCACTTCTTGAGGTCGTTCGCGTGCGTGCACGTCAGGAGGGCGCTGTCAAAGCACGAGACGGCTTCGCGGAAGCGCTCGGCCTTGACATAGTCGCGACCGCGCGAGATCTTGTCGGCAGCGATTTCAGCGGCACGGCGGTCGTTGAAGAGCGTCGCGTCCGTCGGGTCCTTCATCGAGCCTGCCTGGTACGTCTTGATGGCGGCCTCGATGTCACCGAGCGCAACTTGCGCCTTGGCCTTGCGCTGGTAGCCGCGAATAAAGGTCGGCTCCATGGCGATCGCACGCGACGAGTCGGCAATCGCTTCGTGGTGCTTGGCAATCATGAGATACGCCGCCGCCCGGTTGCCGTAGAAGGCCGCCGTCGTCGGCGCGAGCTCGATGGCCTTCGAGTACATGTCAATGGCGCCGCGGTAGTCAGCCTTCTTGTACAGGTCATTGCCCTTGGTCTTCCACTCCTCGGCAGAGGCGTCGTTCGAGGACAAGTCCATGTTGCGCTTCTGCGGTTGCCGCCCGTTTGCAATATGAAGGCGTCGCAGGGATCCACAGAACCAGTCTTTTGCGACTTCCCCCAGGACTTTAGGTCCTAATTAGGATCCTCCTGCCCCAAGTCCATTTTCGCATGGCGCCCGTCGATTTGATTGGTTTTATACCGCGACGTACATTCGAGAAATTTCTAGAATCGGATCTTTATTATCAAGCCACTTGATAGTCACGCCAACGAAACCAGCGCAGTCGAGCTTAGGGACCCGTGTAAGCGCAAAAGCCCGTGTCGACACCGTCGGCTTCCCATGCTCGAATGATGGCGCGCGATCGCAAGTCGGCTTGTCGAATCGGCTCGGGTACGCGGAAGAGCGACGTTGCCTGCGTGAGCGCGACCGCTTGCTCGAGTGTAATAAGATTACCAATCGAAACGTAGATAGGGTTTTGAATGCCTTTCGTGCACAGCGCCGAGCCCCATACCTGCATGCGCAGTATAAATAAGACTCGAACAAGGTGTTTGTACCGTGCCCGACTCGCCACGCAGCGGTACGACCACGTCGTCGTTGGTCGAGTCGTCGCGCTGGATCGCCTTGGCGTCCTCGACGAGCGCGCGAACATGGGACTTGGCGAGACCGTCGACGTTCAGAAACGTCTTGGCAACGCCAATCGTCGGCAGCGTCTTGACCACGCCCAAGTGCGACGCAATGCCAAAGCCACGCGGATGCAGTCGCCCGTTGCCATCGACAAAGACGAGCTGCGGCTGCAGGTCCTCTGGGATCAAGTCGAAGAGGGGTAGGAGCGCCGGTAGCTCACGAAAGCCAAGGAACGTTGGGATGTAGGGCAGCGTCAGGTTTGTGTAGCAACTAGTGTGCGGTGCATGAGTCGACTCCACATGCGAAAAGACCGTACGAGGCTTCACAAAGCACCTTGAGGTCGGGATACGAAAGGACAACAAGGGTTGCGCAGGCGTCATTGGTGCCCTTGAGGAACGAGATATCGACGCCGCCGACGCGGGTGAGGCGGCTCTCGTCCACGGTGCTCGTCATGTTCATGGCGCATTTCATCTATGGCCAGGATAAGCCATGAGATGCGTAGCCCCCACCAGCGTACCTCTGCCTGTTCGGCCTCCCATGCTTGGCGCTGGGCGTCCGTGTCTTGCATGTTCATGGTCGCTGGCAGGTTCTCTTGTGTCGACGCGCGCAAGTTCTTTTGTCATGCGGTCAGTGATGGTCCTAAAGTTGTCGCGATCTTGTGCAGCATAATAAAATGGCGTATTTTATTACACACGGTGGCGTCTTGGCTTGGTGTTTGTATGTTGTTGCCACCGTCGGTAATAAATCACGAAGCAAATCCACTTTATAGCTAGGCTTTCGCGCCATTTTTGCCGAAGCCAAGCCCGAAAAGGCCGAATATGGCGTTTGAAACAAGGACATGTCCGAATTGAATATATTTGGAATTGGGTGAAGCCCCGCACAGCGAAACCTGTGGGGTTGGAAGTCCAGTGATCCGGAGCAGCAGACCAACCCACGATGCCATCGTCCGAAGGTAAGCGCGAGCGAGGAAGAGGCTGGTAGATGGAGCGCTCCATCTACCGAGGGTCTCTACGCGATGGAACGCTTCCAGACGCCCATGCTGCTCTCGGTAGATGAGAACTCGCCGGCCGTGTCCGAGTCGGAATCCGAGTCGGAGATGAAGGCCGACCCCGGCTCGAAGAAGCGCAAGCTGGACAAGAAGGGCAAGACCAAGGCGGCCAAAAAGAGCCGCGTCATGGACAGTGACGACGAGAAGCCCCGCAAGAAGAACGCCTTTGTTGAAGAGGAAGCGTCCGAGAGCGATGACGACGGGAAGGAGATCGACTCGTCCGAAGAAGAGGACGTCGAAGAAGACAACACGTACGTCAACGACGGCTTCGTCGTCGGCGACGACGACGAGAGCGATGAAGACGAAGGCCGGGGCCATCGCAAGCGCAAGAAGAAGAAGGACAAGAAGCGCTCGCGCTTGCGCCAAGGCCGGGACGACGACGACCTGGACGACGACGACATTGATCTCATTCAAGAAAACTTGGGTATCAAGAAGAACCGCGACCGCTCCTACAGCGACGGCGGCGACTTTGACTCGGATGGCTCGGCCAAGAAGGCGTCCAAGAAGGTGAAGAAGAAGGCCGAGAAGATCAACGCCGACATGTCCAAAGACATGTTTGGTGCGTCAGATGACGATGAAGATGCTGCGCCGGTGCGCAAGGGCGACGGTTACGGCGACGAGGCCGAGTACGACAGTGATGATGGCTTCATCGTGTCGGAAGATGAAGACGGCAACGGGCGTCAAAAGACGGGCCACCGCCCCGTGAAGAAGCCGCGCCAGTCGATGGAGATCGCTCAAGGTCCGTCTTTGTACCAGCTCGATGAAGCCGAGGAGCTCTTCGGTGACGCCGAGGCCTTCTTGGAGGCAACGCGTGGCCACATTACGCAAGAGTCGGCCGAGAAGGACAAGCGTGCAATCTTGATCGACAAGTACGAGCCCAGTGTCTTGAAGGAATTCCACATGACGGCCAACGACGCGGCTGTCCGCGAGCGCGACGAGCCCGAGCGCTACATCCAGATGTTTGCGCAGCGGCGGTTCCCGGACCCCGAAGAGCGTGCAGAGGAAGCCGAGTGGATGGTCGACAGTGTCTTGAAGAAGCTCGAGGCCAAGTACACGGGCCAGCGCGGTGTGCGCGGCAACCTTGTGACTGCGATCGACAACGTCCTCCGCTTCTACCATGAAGACAAGCTGGAGCCGGCGTTCGTTCAGCGCTACTGCAAGGAGTACTGGAAGACCGCGGGGCTTCACAGCGAGCATTTGTATCTTATCCAAGACCTCGACATCAAGTACGACAAGCTCCAGCGGAAGCGTGCGGCGCTGCAGGTCGGCATGCAAAACGCCGTCGACGCGAGCGAGGCGCGCGAGAGCACGGCCGTGCGCAAGTGCTACCAGCATGTCGTGCGCAGCCCGGAAGAGAAGCACTTGGCCGATCTCTCACTCGCGTTTTCGACGCTGGACGTGCGCGAGAAGAGCAATGCGGCTGGCCTCAAGCGCCCCGGTCGACGGACATTTTACAACGTGTGCGTCAAGGCTGGCCTCAAGGGCCTCGCCGCGCAGTTCACGATGAGCGCGACTGTTCTCGGTGGCGTCTTGGCGGGCATCTTGACGGACGGCGAAGGCCAAGTCGAAACGCCGACCGCCAGTCTCGGTGACATTTGCATGACGTACCTCTCGAACGAATTTCCGACGATTCCGGACGTCCTCAAGGGCGCACGCCACGTCGCGGCGTACCAAGTCGCGTCCGACCCGAACGTGCGCCAGCGCATGCGCGACCTCTTCCATCGCTTCGCCTCGCTCACGACGGTCACGACCAAGAAGGGCGTCGAGGAAATCGACGAGTTTCACTACTGCCACGGTCTCCAGTACCTCGAAGGCATGGCGGCGCTGGACGTTTTTGGAACGGATTTGTACATGCGGGTCGAGAAGGCCGAGAAAGAAGGGTTTGTGACGGCGCACGTCTCGGTGGACCACCTCGTCTTGATTGAGAGCCTCGAGCAGATCTACCTCGCGCCGGGCGACAGCAGCGAATGGCAGAGCCACCGCCGTGACATTCTCGCTGAGGCTGTCGTGGCATTCTTGATCCCGTCGCTTCAGGAAGAGCTGCGCCAGGAGTGGCGGCTCTCGGCGCAAGACGTTGTGCTGCGTCGGTGCGGCGACGCCATGCGGAAGCGCGTCATGGTCCGGCCATTCGAAGCTCACGAAGGCGAGGACCCGCGCCTCATCGGTATTTACGTCGACGACGAAGATCCGGAGGCCGTTGCCTACATCGTCGCGCTCGACGAGAACGGAGAGCTCGTCGACAAGGTTCAGGGCCGGTGCTTGACGGCAACGTGCCTCGAGTCGCTCCAGACTGTACTCACGACGTTCTTGGAAGAGCACACGCGCACGTCGGCAGTTGTTATCAACACGAGCGGCGGTCTAAAGTGCATGGACATGGGCGAGCTCGTCGACTCGGTTCGCAACAAGATTCATCGTGCCGATGCCAGCGAACCGCGCGAGTACCTCCACGTGACGTTCCTCAAGGACGACGTCGCCCGCATGTACAGCAAGTCGAAGCGCGCCGAGGCCGAGTTCCCGGAAGAGTCGACGGGCATGCGTGCTGCGATCGGGCTCGCGCGCTATTTGCGCAACCCGCTCGCGGAGCTCAGCTCCATGTGGGGCTTTGTCGCGCAGAACGAGCCAGGTCGTGGCCGTGAGCTTTTGTACCTCAACGTCGATTTGTTCCAGAGCCACGTCAACAAGGACCTCCTCGTGAAAGAGTACGAGCGCATCTTTACCCAGACCGTCAACAAGGTCGGCGTCGACATCAACTACGTGGCCAACTATGCGCACGCGTCGTACGTGCTGCAGTTCGTCTCGGGTCTCGGGCCGATCAAGGCCTTGGCGCTCATTGAGAAGATCAAGGCAGCGGGGTACCTCGAGAAGCGCCAGGATTTACTCAAGATGGTGTCGGGCGCTGTCGTGTACCGCAACTGCGCGGGTTTTGTCCGCATCCGCGAGCGTGACGCGCTCAAGGAGTCACCGCTCAACTCACTCGACGACACACGCATCCACCCCGAGAGCTACTACATGGCGGTCAAGATGTGCGGTGACGCCAACAACAACACGACGATGGATTTGTACGACCCGGATCAGTACTCGTACGCGGTCGAAGACACGATGTTCCAGTCGGCAACTGCGATCAAGAATGCCAGCGCCAAGCGCCCGGCAAGCACGTCGAAGAAGAGTGAACGGCTCTCGGACGTCGAGATCCAGGACTCGCTGGCGGACCTCGACTTGCCCGCGTATGCCAACCGACTCGAGCTGCAGCAGAAGGGCCCGAAGCTCTTGACGCTCGAGCACATCAAGCGCGAGCTGCGGTACCCGTACTTTGACCCGCGTGACAAGTACAAGGACCCGGTGCAGCTGGACCTCTTCTACCTCCTTCACAACGAGACGCGCGAGACGCTCCGCATTGGTATGGTCGTGCCGTGCCGCCTTATCAAGATGGCAGGTGATCAGATGGTCGTTGTTTCGCTCCACTCCAACATCAAGGCGCAGCTCAAGAAGGAGCATTTGCCCGACTACATGACGGAGCGCGGCAATGAGTACTTGCGCATCAACGGGTTCCCGCGCGGCATGCAAGTGAACGCCAAGATCATGGACTTTGTCCAGGACTACAACCGGTACCACTTGAGTCTCGCCTGCGACCAGCGGTCGATCGTCATGATGACGGAAGAGATCTTCAACCGCGGGTCGTTCCCGCGCGCCGTGAACGTCGACAAGATTATCAAGGACAGTCAGCACCGGTACGACTTGCTCGTGAACGAGCTGCCCCGCCCCGAGGAGGAAAAGTCATACGACAACACGCGCATTCAGAAAAAGTCCCAGCGCAAGCGCCGCCAGATCATCCACCCCGTGTTCCACAACGTCAACATGAAGCAAGCGATCGCCAAGCTCAAGACGCTCCCGGTCGGTGATGTGGTGCTTCGCCCCGCGCGCGAGAACGTCGACCACTTGACGCTGACGTGGAAGGTCCTGGACGGCGTGTACCGCCACTTTGACGTGCTCGAGAAGGACAAGCCGTCCGAAGGCCGCCTCGGTGCCAAGCTCATCGTCAAGGACGAGACGTTCGAGTCGATTGACGAGATGATTGCGCGGCTCATTGACCCAATGAACACGCTCGTTGACGAGATTGTGCACCACAAGAACTACCGCAACGAAGACGCGCACGACATTGGCGAGGCGCTCCTTGCCGAGAAAAAGGCCGACCCGAAGCGCATCCCATATGCGATCCACCCGTTCAAGGAGTACCCGGGCTGCTTCTCCGTGACGTTTGTCGCGCGCACGACGGCGCGGACGTGGAACATGGAGGTCCGTGCCAACGGTTTCCGGTTCTTTGGCTCGGTCAACTCGTCGGTCCAGCCATCTCTGGCGCACGCGCTTGCGTTTTTCAAGAAGACGGCGCTCGCGCCGCCAAAGTCCAAGCCGCGCACGAGCAACTACGCGTCGGGTTCGGGTAGCCGTACCGCCGAGCCGTCGCGCCCGTCGAGCTACAGCAGCAGTGGCCGCTCGGGCGAGCCCGCGCCGCGCACGTCGAGCTACAGCAGCGGGCATCACAGCTCGCACGGTGCGAGCAGCTACCAGCCGCACGGAGGTAACAGCGGCGGTCCACGGTACGCCGACTATGGCCGCCCGCCGCCGCCGGCGCACCACCAGGCGCCGCCCCACCACCACCATGCCGGCGCACCGTACCAAGAGCGCCGGTACTAGGAACAGTTGTAGTTGATGACTCGTTTTCGACGCCTTGCGACATCATATATGGTGCCTACTCGTGTACGACGACTGATGTTACATGTGCAGCAGCGCGGGCGAGACATGCGCCGCCGAGAGCCGCTCGGACGCGTCAAAGACATCGCCGCACGTCGCACACCTACATGTCGCCAGCCTTCAGCCTCGATTGCCATGCAGCGCCCGTACACAAAGGTCGGGTCGGTGGCGACCGCCGTCTGGAGGCAGTAGTAGCAGTACTGGTGGCCGCACGACGTTATGTACGGCGTCTACGCGCATATTAGAAGAGACGGCAACCGACATGAAGGGACCTTGGCCGGCGTGGCATTGCAGAGGGCGCAGGGCCCGACGCCGCTGGCTTGACCATCGCTGGCACTGGCATCCGGGCCGAGAAGCTGCTTGCCGCGCTGCTTGAGCCAGAGGCCGGCGCGCTGCCAGTTGATGAGCGGCAGTGCAAAGTAGCAAAACTCGACAAAGCCGTCCCAGACCAGCTGCCGGTTCATGTACTCGAACGTGATGGCGCGCGGCGCGACCGAGCGCGTGAGCGGCGCCTACGTACCATGATGAGGCTGTTGCTGTGGACGCGAAGTGCGTACGAGCTTCATGCCCACGAGGCGCTCGGGCACGCTGCGATACTCGCCTTGCTTCCAGAACGCGAGGTGGTTCGCGAGCTTCAAGATCGCCGCGACTGTGCTCATGCGGTGCACGAGGTTCAAAAAGTGCTGGTACTGGTCCTAGTAGAATGGTGCCGTCGTGGTGTCGTGCAAGTGCGCGCACCTCGGCCTCGGTCGACCGGTCTTCGCGCCAGCGGTAGCTCAAGAGCGCGCGATGGATGCGGTTCCATGCATACGGCAGACCCACCGAGAGGAGGAAAAGCGGCAGTGTCTTCTTCCACGTCAAGCACTCTTTTTCGAACTGGAGGTTCTGGAGCTTCATGCCGGGCGTCGGCTGCACAGATAGATGCTCGGGCGCCAGCGGTTGAATGCGTACATACCTGGTGCATGCCCACCGAGAGCGCAAAGAGCATCGCGTACGTGACGCCGTCGATCTCGGGCTGGTACTTCTCCATCAAGCCGGGCTGGAAGAGCGCAAACATGCTCTTGATCGGGTGCTTCATGAGCGCGAGGATCTCCGAGTCGAGGACGAGCGAGTCCCACTTGTTCACGCGCAAGTTGGCGCTCGCATGCGTCGGCGCGAGGCTCGGCGCCCGCGCGAGCACGCCCCGGAGCCGCGCGAGCTCGGCGACGCTGCCGTCGGCCCACATTCGATTGCTTCCGACCTCCTCATCCGGACTCCGCGATCGTATCCGGATGACTGTCCTGACGATGTTGCTTTCTCATCAGTCGCATCGTGATTGTCCTAGCCATGGGGGTTCTAGCATAAACTCCACTGGCCCACGCTACATGAGCGGCATAATGAGCGCTACGACGCGTGCTCCAAAGCTGCTCGCACCGTCAGGCCTTAGCAGCTCTGCCATCCGTGGTTTTTGGCAGCTGCGAGCGCCCGAGAAGAACGCCACGAGCAAAGAAGCTACTAGCACTTGCCCGATCTGCCGTAGCCACGCTCGTACATTTCTTGAAGTCGAGTCCAATGGCCAGGCCGCGTGAGAGCGTCGTCCAACGGTCGAGTACCGAGTCATAGTCAATGCAGGTTGAATGCTCCTGCCTCTGTCGACCGTCGCCGTGCTGGTGACCAAGCCGAGAACAAGCCGCATCGCTTGGCCACGCGCCGTCCTCTTCCCTATCACCTCTTTGCGTGTCGTGGGCGCAATTCGCCAAACCAAGTCGTGTCCAACGATTCACCTCGAGAGTTCAACAAAATTTGTTGAACAACTGCCAGCTGGTCACATACTGGATACGGCAATCGCCGGCGGCGCCATGACCAAAGGCGCATTTCCCATTTTGCGTCGCGATGGCCAAGAAGTTTCTCTGCTGCACGATCACGGCCATGAAGGTCCACCAGGTCTTCATGTCCATCTTCGGCCTCCTCAACACGGTCGCCGCCGTCTGGCTCATCGCCAACGACGACTACCCGTTCAAAACGTCCGGCGAGATCCGCGCCTCGATCGCGCGCGTCGTATTGCACTGCTACCAGATCGTGCTCAGCCACTGCCTCCTCATGGCCGCGGCCTTTGGCGCGCGTCTGCCTCTCGAGTGGTTTGGCCTCCTCACGGGCTTTGTCGGCTCGGGCTTCTACCTCATCTTCCTCGGCTTCCTCACGCTCAGCCTCGACACGGTCTTTGGCCTCGTCGTCGGCATCCTCACGATCGTCTATGGCGTCGGCTCGATCATTTACGGCTACTCGACCAAGAAGGAGATGCTCGAGAGCGGCACGTCGTACCGCAACCTCACGCTCGACTAGAGCTCGACCCTTGTAATCCATTCCTTTTTGTTTGACCAAAGATGGTGTGTCGAGACAAAGCCACGTACACAGTGCACCTCGCTGGTGCGTGCGGCAGTCGCCTCCACGGGCCGCTCGAGAACGTTGTCGGTCGCATCGTCCGAGACGAGTGGCCGGCCGTGCATCGTTCATGCTCGCTGGCGTCGTAGTCGTTGCTTCATGCATGTGCCAAGACGCGCAAAAGGCTGCTAAGATAGATCAACCAAGTACATATTGAGGATTAGGCGCAAGCGATGGGCGCTTGCTCGGTCGACGCGCTTGGCACGACTTGGATCTCGAGGGATACCGGCTGCGTCGCTCCGGCAATGAACTGGGCCATGCCCTCGAACGCTTCGTTCGCATGGTCCGAGTTCCTAAGCACCATTGGGTACACGTGGCAGAGCGTCGGGTGGTAGATCTCATGCACGGGGACTTTAGCGCTCTTGGCCGAGTCGACCATGGCCGCGATCTCGTCGGCGAGGATCTCCCCGCCACCATACACCACCTGTGCACCTAGCGTGAGGTCGAGAGATGCGATGTCGGCGGCCTACCATGATGGGGGCGAGGCCCTCCATCGACTGCAAGCCGGGCGACGCCTTCTCAATGTTGTCTTCCGTCACGTACGCGGCCCGCGCCGTGAGTGCGCCCGACCTACGTGCTGCCGATCGCATCGTCGCATGGGGTACATGGGTTCTTACTTGGCAATGTAGTCGGTCGTCTCGTTGCGCTCGTACGACGTGTGCGACATGGTGAGGTCGACCCACGGCGAGAGGAGGATACCGCCCGCGGCTTGCGGCAGGCCGAGGCGCACGATGGCTTGCAAGAGCGAGAGCGCGAGGTTGCCGCCGGCCGAGTCGCCCATGACAATGATGTTGGTGTAGTTTTGGGCCAGCAGCCACTCGTACGCCTGCGTAAATACTTGATGATATGCAGGCGACAGGACGTCGTACCGCGAGGGCTTGGTGCTGCTGGTGCGGGAACTGCCGCTCGGGCGCGAGGTCGTACTCGAGGCTAAAGACGCGGGCCGCCACGTCCTGCGTGTTGAGCGCGGTGATGAGCGGCTTGATGAGGTCGTTCGACTGCGTCGCGGCCGAGCCCGCGGCAAACGCGCCGCCGTGGATGTACAAGATGGTTGCGTGTGATTTCATGTGGTCGTGCATGACGGGCTGTCCGTACCAAAGTCCTACAAGTCCAAGCATGAGGCTGCTGCTCAAGCGCATGTGCGTACCCTTGACACGCGGCGTCGCGACAATGTGAAAAGGCCTAGTCGCAACGACATGAGAAAGATGCATTGGCGATCGCATGGCCTGTACTTGTAGAGAAGACGCTGGAGTACGCCGTAGAGGTTGAAGAGGCGGCGGAACACCGGAATCTGCGTCGACGTGCAGAGGCGCATGATGTGGAAGAGCACCGCTTGGGCGAACGACTGCTGTGTGTGGGCGCGGCGCTGGAAGAAGACGACGAACGGTGCGATCCAGCAGTCGAGAAGGAGCTTGGAGGTTGCCACGAGGTGCATCTCGTCGTCGATTCAGAAATGACCGCTCGACCTTCGAATTTTGTGGCCAGCGTCCTTCGAAAGGTGCACTTTCTGCCCTATCGTCTTCGATGGCGGAAGCTCGTGCGAGTTGCTTGGCCCAGCTTCAACGTACGGCACGTGACGCAACAGCGTCAGTGACTAACTTGGGTCGCAGCGACGTGACTGGTGGTGGTGGCAGCAGTATAATCGCGCACGTCGCCCGTCGGATACCGCAGTGTAGAACGGCGGTCGCTCGAGCTGCGGGCTGGACGCTGCGGTACCGTAGGTGCGGCGTGCCAAACGTTGAAGGCAATGGCGTGCGCCGCCGAGGATTCATAAAGGCACCTGGTCGCAATTGACTGACGCAGGCGGGATGTGCCCATGTAACGACAGAGAACAGCGAGGATGGTGGTGGCATCGACTCGTTGCATCTTTGGGCGAGGCCTTTACGGCGACAGGCGCAGTACATGTACTAGCGCGAGAATGAGCTGCGGGTGTTGGGAAGCGGTATCGTTTTAAGAGACGATGACGCGCCAAACTCGACGACCCATCTCGGTCAACCAAGCGAAGCAGCAGCAGTGCTGTCGACGCTGTCGATTCGATACGTGGGCCCTCGTCGGTAGCACACGCGCGCTGATCGTTGAGCATTGCACGCTTGCTCGAGACGACCACGACAGTCCCGCACGCCGAATCGCCTCCTTGGCTCGCATGTCGATCGTGGTCTCGAGGTCGAGGATGCATCATAAACTAGTTGTCTTGGAGGTATTCTGGTAGTCTAAGACAGCCAGAATACCTCCCACCAAAGGGGGGAAGCTCTGTGGGGGGTGACCCGCTCACATGGGCGTCGCGCTTTTCGGTGGCGAGAATGGCCACACGTGTCTTGAGCTGCCACGTCATTCTTGGCCGTGTTGGTTGGATCTGTGCCACGTGGCGGACAATGTTGTCGCGATGCAAGGCTGCCACGTGTTATATGTGTTTCGCTATGATATACATACAGCAAGGTAAAAGGAAAAGCGGAGATTGGTGGCATGGTCAGTATTTCGAGAACCACGAGCATGCGTGTGCTCCAGATCATGGCGATGGCCGTCGTGGCGGCAGCCGTCACCGCGCACCAAGTCTCCATCGTGCCATCTACTGCGCCGTCCACTGCGCCGTCCACTGCGCCGACGCAGACGTGCGACCTGACCGTCGACGGCGTCTGCGCGCCCGCGCCGCCGCTCTTCGAGCCCACGTCCGAGTGGCAGGAAATCCTGCCCAACCAAGCCATTCCAGGCGTACGTCAGCGCTCTATGGGCCTTATCTCTTACGACATGAATAGGGTCTCCACGTGCGCATCAATCTGGCGACGGGCAAGAAGGAAGCCAAGCTGCTCTCGAAAGACGACGACGACGACAGTGATGCGACGCCGGCCAACGTGCCCACACCCAAGGTTGCTGCCAGCAAGCTCACAGCTGTTGCCAGCAAACCCACGGGCCAAGAAGCGGCGTCTGACGTCGTCGCCGCACCCGAGACGAAGGAGGAGCACCGCATTAGTGATTCGCTCTACAATGTGCTCGCGGGGCTGCCCGAGCCGCCCGTCCTCGACGGCATCAACATCCACGAGGCGCACGCACACCTCTCGAAAGAGGCGTTTGCAGCATATGTTGAGAAGCTCTGGAAGGCGCGTCAAGCCGAGCTGAAAGAGGCGTCCGAGGCGATCCGGAACGAAGCCCAGTACATGCAGACGCTCATCGATGCGCTCTTGGCGCCAACAACGCCGACCGACGATGTCCTCGACGCGCTCACTCAGCTCGAGTGGGAAGTTCAGGACCTCGACAAGGCCCGCGACTTCAACACGCTCGGCGGTCTCGCCGTGACGGTCCAGTTCCTCAACGCAACCGATCTCGACGTGCGCGCGCAGGCCATGTGGGTGGTTGGCAGCGCGGTCAAGCACTTTGAAGAGGCCCAGACGTGGGCGCTTCAGGCTGGCGCGGTCCCGCATCTCTTGGAGTCGCTCGCCATGCCCCTGCAGGACAAGGCGGTCGTCGCCATGCAGCGCAAGGCCCTCTACGCCCTCTCGGCGCTTATTCAAGGCAACGCCAAGTGCCAAGCCGTGTTCCTGTCACAAGATGGGATTCGTATTTTGAACGCACTCGCTGCCAACACGGAGGCGCCGTTGCAGCTGCGACTCAAGGCGGTACTGGTGCTGCACCACCTCCTCGCCGAGCACGCGGCCGACCCGTCGCGGGCCGCCGACATCCACGCGGCCATCCACGCCAGCGACATCTACTGCGCAGCGACCGCAGCGCTGCTGACGGACCCGACGCTCACGCCCCAGGTCGGGCTCCAGGTGATGGAGGCGCTTGCGCAAGCGCTCATGTCGCCGCCGTCGTCGTGCACGGCCGCCATCACAACCCCTACCGTCGCCGCCCGCGTCGAGGCGCTCGACACGGCATGGCGCACAGACCCGTCGCTGGACGCGGCTCTGCAGGAGGACGCAACGACCGTCGCCGTCACGCTCCTCGACTACATTCGGGCGCTCACGCAGTGAAGAAGGATCGATATTAAAATAATAAACTACAACTAATAGTGTGCACCCCGCTGGCTAGTTGGTGTACTTGGACACGAGTTCCCAAACCTCAAAGTTGACTATGTCAAAGTCCGAGCGGTGGGCCAAGCACCTATATCGCATACTGCGTGAGCGCGACGACGCTGCAAGCATGGCGGCGCACCGGTTCTCAAAGGTGAGGCTGTGCGCACTCGTGCCCCGCGAGAGGTCGCTGTTGACAGCCCACGCAAACCCGCCGCTGCGCAAACGACGTCAACGACGAAGCAATGAGAGAGGTATATGTACCCGCCGCCCATGGCCATCATCGACTCGTTGCTGAACATGATCATGGCGTTCGTGCCCTTCCACGCAAAGTGCTCAAAGGACGGGTAGCACGTAAAAAGGAAGCATTCGCCCGTGCCATAGTACGACGTCGACGGGCTCCACGGCATGGACGCAAACGCGCCAAAGACATCGCCGTCGCTGGTCTCGACGACCACGATCGTCGGCCGCTTGCCGCGGACGTTGCGATAAAGCGTCCCGAGGCTGGCGCCATGCTGCGCCAGGCTAGACAGAGATGAGTGCGATGCCATGGTAAGCCGCGTCGCACCTGTAGGCAATCTTCCAGTCGTAGCCGCGGTGGCGCGCCGGAAGGCATGCTTCGAGCTACACAAGTGGTTGCATCGAGCCGGTGGAGGAGGATAGGACGCACATACCCTCGGAACGAGGTACTTTGTGTAGCTTGGGTGCGACAGGATGTCGTGAGGAGTCGCGAGGAGCAGCTTGGGGAGCGAGGTTGGATCCACGAGATGGCACTTGCACGGTACCGGCTCGTGCGCGGGCTCCTTGATCGTCGGCGACACGGGTCGCTTCTCGTCGTCGGTCGGGTCTTCCTGGTTGCTCGACGGGTGTTTCGCCGCGTGCTCTGGGATCGCAATCATGGCCTGGCTCGAGCTCCTACCGCGTCCGTCAGCTCTTCTCTTCCGATGACAGCATCGTACCGGCGGGATGCATCGTTGGGCAAGAACTCGTGGAGCGCTTTCGACGGAAGGCTCTGGCTGCGCGCGCGAATGCGCTGGCGGATCTTGAGCACTTGGCCTTGGTAGATCGCGTGGCCGCCAAGAAGGTGGTTGGACTGGCGCAGGTCAAACTCGCGCAGGCCGTGTCTATGTCAAGGCAACAGCGATGAGCGCCTCGTCCGCCGTAGCATCGCGTACTTGATGGCGATGCCCATGAGCGTGTCGCCTTCCTGGACCACGTACGTCGACTTGGCCGGCGCCACGTCGGCGCTCTCGTGGTGCTGGTTGTTGCTGCTGACCGTGTTGCTGTCGTCCTGCGTCTGGTCCATGCTGCGGCCTTTCTCGAAATGAAACGTTGCGCAGTAGCATCGTCATCAAGATGGACAGCGCATTTCTATTTTCGAATCCCGAAATTCGAAGTTTTTTGAAAAATACACCAATCACAACGCGGAACGTGGGGCGCCGTGTCCCACAACGCACTGCGATTGGCCACTTTTACAGTTGTGGTATTGATTGCAGCGTTGTGCGCACCTGCGTCGGATCGTCCCAGGAAGCAGCGACCAAGCTCAAGTTGTACCTAGGTACAGCCTCCTTGGAGAGATCCAGCGTTTTCATGCAGCCTCTCGTCGTCCGGAGGAGGACGGTCGCCAGCGTAAAGGATGCTGCGAAGAAGCGGATCGGACTTCCACCCGCATCGCCATTGCGCGCAAGGTTGAAGAGAACCCAAGTTCTTTTTCCCATGGATTTCGCGCGTTTTTCGCAGTTGGGCCCTCTCGTGAAGCCACTTTGCATCATGCGACTTACCGTGTACGAGATGACGGCAACAGCATCATGGACATCCATGTACTCATCGTACAGGCTGGACCATGTATATGGCCCTAGATTCGTGACGCTGAGACGCATGGATGACGGCGCTTCTTGATCCGAGACGCAAGATAACGGTGCGAACTGCGCGTCGACTGCGTTGATAGCGATGATGACTGCACGCAAGCTCCGCGCCTAAACTGAGCGATTCGTTCGGGTGTTTACGACTGCGACGAAGTCGTGTGTGCCAGATCGACGCCATTTGTGGTTGAAGTGTGTCGGATTAGATCATAACTAATCCAACGACGCAGGTCGTATGTTCTATCTACGATCTAAGATTTCTAAGATCTTAGGCTTGCTCAATACGAAATTGATGGGGTAGTGGGCGTGAACGGCGGCGCTACGGCTATACAATATTGCGATGTGAAGGCTGGAAGGCTTCCTTGGGAGTGATGGGAGCGGGTCATCTCGGGTGTTGACCAGTTGGAAGAGACGTACGACTACCATAGTGCTGAAGATGGAGCTTGGTGCAAGAGCCTGCGTGTGGTCATTACGGTCTTATCTTGGTCGTCGTCGTACGTGGTTGTGTTGCGAGTGGTGGTATGCCGGATCGGTATCATTGATGGTCGCATCCGAGTTCACGGACACGTCCGGATACTGTAGAACTTTATACGCAGCGAAGATATTGGGTCTGAGAGGATCCGCGAGATCGCGTTTGTGTGGTGTTCGTGCGCCTTTGGGTCCCTCTGAAAACGCATACTTTATGGGCTTGTGCAGAACGCAATCAACGGCCGCAAAATCCGACGTGGAGAAGGCCATTTCGAAGTTTCAGCGACAGGTGGCAGGATGAGCAGGTATGGCAGCAGCTACGGCGGCGGCGGCGGCGGCGGCGACTTCAACAGGGGACGGGGAGGCGGCTACGGCGGCGGCGGCGGCATGGGCGGCCGCGGTGGCTACGGCCGTGACATGGGCCGACGAGCCGAGCCCGGCGTCGGCGGCGGCGCCGAGCACCTTGCCCGCATCCACGGCACAGAAGAAGACCGCGTCAACTGCCCGTTCTACTTCAAGATTGGCGCCTGCCGGCACGGCGACCGATGCTCGCGCCTTCACAACAAGCCCGTATTTAGCCAAACGATCCTGGTCAAGCACATGTACCAGAACCCGCTCTCGGTCATCATTGCGGCCAACGGCGACCCGTCGCAATTGGACCAGAAGACTGTCGACGAAGACTTCGAAGACTTCTTTGAAGAAGTCTACGAAGAGCTGTGCAAGTTTGGCAAGGTCGACGAACTCAACGTGTGCGACAATCTGGGCGACCACCTTGTCGGCAACGTGTACGCCAAGTTTGACGACGAAGAGTGCGCCGCTGCGGCGCAGAAGGCGCTCTACGGTCGCTTCTACGGTGGCCGCCCGCTCATTTGCGAGTTTTCGCCCGTCACAGACTTTCGCGAAGCGCGCTGTCGTCAGTTTGATGAGGGCACGTGCAACCGCGGCGGCTACTGCAACTTTATGCACATCAAGATGGTGTCGCATGCCATGATGATCGAGCTCGAGCGCCATTACAACATAAAGAAGGACGACAATGAAGAGAAGGGCCGCAGCAGGAGCAAAAGCCGCAGTCGTAGCCGTCGGCGCCGAAGAAGTCGCAGCCGCAGTAGATCATCCAAGCGCCGTCGCAGTCCTGAACCGCATCGACGCGACTAGACTGGGCCATCCATTGGCTTCATCATGAGTCTGTCGCTCGACCATTCACCTCCATCCTGCGCGCACTTCCTCACTTACGCCTGGCCGGAGACTTCGGCATCAAACAGGAAAGCGATCGGCTCATACTATAAAATATAAAGTTAACAGGGCTTCCATCGACTCGTCGCCGTCGTGCAAGCAGCACGAACACCGACGCCGCGTCGACTTCAACAGGGACAGGGACACAGGTGCTCCACGTCGTTACTGCCGCAGCTCCTGACTCCTCCCTGGCCTTCCTGCCCGTACCAGAGACCCAAGTTCTACGAGGCCTGCACTGCGGTCTTCGCGACGGAGTCCGTGGCCATGAGATGGCATGGTGTGGATCCACATCCTGGAACCAGGCGCCATGGGCCTTGACACTAGCAGGCGCATAGGCCCGCGCGGGCTTAACTATAATAGATAAGATTTAAATTCCGCAGCCATTCATTGGCCCGTTGCCCTTGAAGATTCACTGTCGCGCCGTTTTCCCAGCAAAGATTGGGACAAACCTGTGTTTTGAACCTTTGCGACCAGCAGCTAAAAACACGCACCTCAAGGGGATTCTTGTGGTACCTGGTCATCCCGTCCCGCATGTGCCTGGACGTGATGCCAGCTTTACGTACATGGCACCATTCTCGTAGGCTTATTCATTGGTCTTTCAGCTGACGCGATGTGAGTGAGAACGTTCAACTCGCCCGGACCGCACCGGTTCGAGCTCTACAAGCCAGCACCAGCACCCTGAGGACGACCGGCAAAGACTGACATATATCTACTAGAGTATCTACTTTGCTGTAGCGAAACGACCTCTTCTCTATATATTCGGCGAGCTATCGTGAAAAGGATGCGTCCGAAAATGCAAACGAATGAAGAGCAACTTCAACGTTGAACGCTGCTCTATGCAACTCCACGCTGGACGCTCGCGCGCAACTGCCGTTCATGGTCGCGCCACACGCTGCACCACTACTCTTCGTCGACGTCGTGGTTGGCAGCGATACCGAACAGTGCGCTGCAAGCAAGGAGCCCGTCCGTGGCGCTCGTCCTGCCCGACGAGGACGCGTACAAGGCAAAAGTTGGGTGTTTTCAAAATGTGACGGCCCGACGTAGCAAAAAAACGCTGGGACGTTTGTCCCTGTCCCACGAATCAAATTCCTCGACGTCCTTGGCCGTGGCTTTTCATTTCCAAAGAAGCAACCAGCCAGCATGGGCAAGAAGACGACCTCCAAGCATGCGCGCAACGGGTACGACTCGGACGACGGCAGCATGAGCTTTGGCGGGTCGGTCGCGTCCAACGACACGGACCGCTCCTTGGACGTCGATGAGAACGACGGCGAGCTCACGCAAGAAGAAGCGCTCCACGCCCACATGGAAGAACTCCTCGAGAAGCGGTACGAGCATGGAATCCCGCCGTGCGTTGGATGCGACCATGTGCATACTGTAGAACGACGACGCGTGTCTCGGCCTTGAAGAAGATTGAGGCGCTGCTCGCGCAATGTGTTCCGCTCGAGCTGCTCCAGGACAAGTACGTCGTCCGATCCATCGCCAAATAAGTTCTCATGCATGGATGTAGCGTTGACACGCTCCAAACCAACGTCTTGCACATCTTGCGCCGCCCGTCGCCGGCGGAAGGCGTGCTTGGCGCGCAGATCCTCGCGCTCATGGCCCTCATCCTTGGCGCCAACGAAGACAGCTACTACAACCAGATCAAGGGCCCATTGCATTTGCTCGTCAAGTCCGAGACGCAAGCCAGCGACGTGCGTGCCATGGTACATTGCATATCCACGCATCATATTCATCTAACGGTGTGGATTTGTAGGCGCTGCAAGCGCTTGGCACAGTCTGCTTCATCTGCAGCAGCGACCAGGAAGACACCCACGCCGTCCTCTCATCGTGCACCGCTTTCTTTGGCAACGCGTCAAACGCGCTCGCCGTCGCCGCCCTTGACACGTGGGGCTGTCTCGCTTCGACACTGCCAAGTGCGACCTTGGTCGACGACTCGTTCCTTGCCCCGTATGTGCCTTGATCGTCGTCAAGCATTATCGTCATCTCACAGGGATGTGTAGGAACCTCGAGGTCTTTCTGCAGCTTCTCGAGCACACGGATGTCGACGTGCGGTCGGCGGCTGGCGAGAACATTGCGCTCTTTTTCGAAGCGCTCGCGACGGCCCACGTCGAGTACGTGGACCGCGACGTGATTGCGGCCAAGCTCCTCCTGCTGAGCAAGGACTCGAGCAAGAAGACGAGCAAGCGCGACCGGAAGGAGCAGCGCACGGTCTTCCGCGACGTGTACAAGACGGTGGCCGACGACGTCTCGCCGTCCGTGACCTTTTCGTTCCAGAACGAAATGCTCCGGTTCCAGGACTGGTGCACGCTCAAGCAGTACAGTACGCTCAAGAAATGGCTCCACGTCGGGTTCCAAGAGCACCTCAAGTACAACAACACGGTCCGCGGGCTCCTCGACCTCCCGCTAACGTCCGAAGAGCAGCCGCGCGTCGAGAAGCGGGACACGCTCTCCAAGAACTCGCACACGCGCAAGCACCAGAGCGCTGCGCTCAAGGACCAGCGGGCAGCGCGCATGAACCAGAAGAACCTCTTCCTCGCCGACTACTAGCAGCAGGATGCGTGTATCATCTATCTATTAACGTAAGACGCTTGCATACAAACAAGGTTGTTGCCGCGATGGCTACAGGCGCTTTTGAAGAAGGTACGTCACGTCCTGGGCGGTGCCAGAGAAGGTCGAGGCTGCGTGCTCCCGCCCATCGCAGGTCTCCCAGCGCACAGGTGGGGGCGACCGAAGTGCAGGAGCCTTGTTGGACCAACGGCGTCGCGTGATCTCGAGAAGCACGAAACACATGAGCAGCATGAGCGCGATCGCAGGCGATGGGGCAATGCGGCTTGTCTCGATGGAGGGCAGGGCTTCGCGCGGAGCAGCGTACTGTGCCATCGGGTACGTCACCGTGGCCGCTGGCTCGAGGGAGCACGACCAGATCGCGCTTCGCATCGGCGGTCGCATCTCGAGCTCGCAGACGTCATGACGCTGGACGACACGGACCAAGTACGACGTCGCCTCGTGATGGAGCGTCGGGAGATGGAGCAACGACTCGAAGTACGTCCCGTGGGCCTGCGTCGGCACGCGGTCTTCCAGGACGCAGGAGCGCCCATCGTCCTTGCATGCATAGACCATCGTCATCCTCGCTCGTCGGTCCATCATAGGTCCATGCCCATGGACGAGGTGATGGGTCGTCCTCGCGTCGGTCGTCGGCCACGCCCGCATCACACCAAATCTTCAGCAGCCAAAGCAGCGCTTATGATTGGCCCGTTTAAACTGTTTTTAGCCAATCCGATCATTTGGTTTCAAACAAGAAGCCAGAATTTGCGCGCCAAATGGCTGCCGTGGGACCCTTCCCACCTTGCTTGCTCTCATATGTATACGCAGGGATATGCTCCTGCTCCCCCCGCGGGCATTGCCGCAGGCAGCGAGTATCGGCCGCAGACGTTGTCGCTTGCCACTTCCGGATGAAGATCACGGCGGAAGTCGCTGGCGATTTAACGCGTCTTTTTGGCTCTCGCCGATATCCATATTTTAATAAAATTAGCGACTCTTAAATTTTATAATTGACCGATTGTATGCGGCGGGGGAGCTATTCAAAGAGACAGGTCCGGGGTGGCGAGAGGGGCGACGACAATGCGCGCGGATTGGCTGAAAAGATAGAAACGCCCTTTGCCATGCGCTGTGATTGGTCGATTTTCAAAGGACAGTACCGAATTGGAAGAAGCGGGTTAAACGAAGAAGGGGGTTATCGTTTTTCACAACCAGTTCATTGCGATGACCACTGCGCCGACGATGGAAGGCAAGGCCAAGTCGCGCCGGGGCCGCGCGGCCGACGGCGCCGGGAAGGGCAACCTCACGGTCGAGCAGAAGCGACGCATCTGTGAGAAGCACCGGACGACGCCCAAGATCACACAGAAGGACCTCTGCCGATGGGCCATGCTCGAGTTCCAGCTGGCGAAAGCGCCGACGCAGCCGACCATGAGCAACATCCTCAAGCACGAGCACCTCTTCCGCGAGAGCGTCGGTGGCGCCGCCTTTGATACCTCGCGCAAGACGATCCGCCCGACCAAGTTCAACCACTTTGACCAAGCGCTCGCCAACTGGGTGCTCGAGCGCCACAACAAGGTCAACTTGACGGGCGACGCGATCAAGGAAAAGGGCCGCGAGCTCAGCACGCAGATGGGCCTCGAGGGCAAGCTCGCGTTCTCAAACGGCTGGCTCAGCTCGTTCAAGCAGCGCCACGGCTTCAAGAAGCTGGGCATTCCCAAGTCGGTGGGCAGCACGTCGATTGCAACAATGAACGCGCTCATGGACACGAGCCCGGCGGCGCTCATTCCGCAAGTGATGGACTTTAAGCTCCCGGACGACCTCACCTCGATGCACATCAAGGAGCTCACGCAGCATTATGCGCTCAAGGATATCTTTACGATGGACGAAACCGGGCTCTTCTTTCGCATCTCGCCGCATGCGTTTGCCGACCACGACAACCTCGAAGTGCACTTTGCGAACGAGTCAAAGCTCACGGTCGCGCTCACGTCCAACGCCGACGGCAGCGAGATGCTCGAGCCCTTCATCATTGGCGAGGTCTTTCCCCCGAAAGACTGGCGGTCGCAGAGCGCGGAGAAGCTCGGCTTCAACTACTGCCACAACGCCAAGTCCAAGATGACGGTGCTCATCTTCCAGCAGTGGCTCCGCGACCTCAACGCGCGCATGCAGTTTGCGCAGCGCAGCATCCTCCTCCTCATCGACAATGCACCGTCGCACATCTCGGTCGGCCTCGAGCTCTCGAACGTCCGCCTCATTGTGTTTCCGCACACGATGGGCACCAAGGCGCAGCCGATGCACTGCGGCATCACGACCGCCTTCAAGTGCCGGTACCGCATGAAGCACCTCGCGCATGCGATCGATCGCAACGAAGAAGGCGCGCCCGACATTTACCGTGTCACGCAGCTCCAAGCGATGCAGTGGATCTCGGAAGCGTGGCGTGAAGTGCCCAAGGACGTGGTCGTCAACTGCTGGCGCAAGGCCAACTTTGTCGCTGCGTACCACGGCGAGCCCGTCACGAACGTCGAAGTGCTCGAAAAGTCGACCGAAGACGACCTCTGGAGCATGCTCTACTGCCTCCAGCTGGGCGGCGTCATCAACATCAAGGAGCTCCTCAACTCGCGCGGTGAAAACGACGTGCACAAGCAGCTCAACGAAGAGTTCTTTGACGAACCGCGCGAGTGCATGGAAGAGTTCAAGGCCCTCGACATGCCGACGGTCGCGAGCGTCACGGCCGAAGTCGCTGACGACGGCGGCGAGGCCATGCCGACGCTGCAAGAGCACCTCGATGCGTTCCGCACGGTCATTCGGTGCCTCGAGACGACCGCGATCGAGCAGGACGAAGCCCAGACGTTGGCCGAGGTGCTCCACTTTCTCAAGAAGAAGCAGCTCGGGCTGCGCCTCAGCCGCGCGTCGACGACAACGTTTACGTTATAAGTAGTTTTGGCCACTCGGCTCGTGTGGTAGTAAATACATATATGATGCTCATCTCCTCCCACACCGTCCGTCGAACCAAAGACAAAGTGAGCGTGAAGAGATACACTTATCAGAAGACTGCTACGACGGCGGCGGGGTCTCGGTCGACGACGGTGCTTTCGACGATGGCTCGAGCGGTGGCGCGCCGCCAGCGACAATGACGAGGCTTCGAAGAAACCGGTAGCAAAAGAGACAGAGCACGCGGACACCGACGAGCCCCAGGCACACGACGGCAGCGTAGACAGCCCACACGTCAAGCATGACGACCTTGTGCCACGGCAAGAGCAGGTCGACGGTCGTCAAGTGGGCGTGGCCAAACTGAAGGGTCGACTCGATGATCGTGAGCACGCGGTCAATGCCGCCGGCCTCCTTGAGCGCCGCGCCAACGCGCACGGCCGCGGCCGCGTACGAGGCGTTCTGGATGAGCTCGTGCGCCTTGTGCCGGACCTCATCTGGCGTAAAGTGCGTCTTGTCGAGGACCAAGCCCGCGCCGGCGTCGACGACCCGCGCGGCCACGTCGGGCTGGTCAACGACAAACGGAAGGCAGAGCACGGGCTTGCCAAACACGAGCGCTTCTTGCGCCGAGACCATGCCGCAGTGCGAGATCACTACAAGGACTTCAAGATACGACATCTAATGAGCGTACGGCATACCTAATTTGACGGCGGGATGCGCGAGCACCTTAAGGTGGGGAAACCCCGAGCCGAGCACCTTGATGCGGAACGACGGGGGCAAAGTGGAGGGCAGCACGTGGCGCTGGTCGTTCGGAAGCGTCCAGAGTACGTTGTACGCCGCACCGTCCTTCGAGAGACCTTGGACGATCGCGTTCGCTTGCCACGGGTCAATGTACGAGAGGCTGCCAAAGCTAATGTAGATAACGTCGTCCGACGCCATCCACTGGCTCACGAGCGGTGGCAACGTCGACGCCGCGTCGCTGAGGCTCTCCAGCGGCAAGAGTGGCCCGACCATCTCGATGAGCGGCGAGAGCGGTCGGGCGTACTCGAGGCCAAAGGCCGTGTTGACAAGGATCCGGGCGCCCTTGAAGATGTCGTGCTGCGACCGGTACGGCGCCAAATCGAGCTCCCAACGCGCCTTGTTGACCTATATACTGTCGTCAGTCCAAGTCTTTCTGAGCGAAAAAGTGACCTGCATGAAGGGCGGCGTGAGCGCGACCGAGAGGAGCCGTGGGAAGAGCAAGTTCATGCACCGGTTCCAGAGCGACATGTGAATCGAAAAGCCCGTGCCCCACGCCGGTACATACGACGGCGTCCCGCCCATGTCGAAGAGAATCGACGGCGAGTTGACAAGGTACGGTAGCTGCAACTTGTGCACGAGGTCGTGCCCGCCGATGGTGGCAATGTCGAGGATGACGAGGTCCGGGCGCGACGCCGAAATACTCGGGTACAGCGCATCGTACATGGGCTGCGCTGTCGGGACGTAAATGTCGTTGAACATGTTGAGGATGCCCCGGAACGTGGACGCATCGCGCGTGATGGCTTGGAGCTTTTCCCGCAACGTGTCGGCTGAAATCGGAAATGGGCCGGCGGATACGAAGGTCGCGCCCGTGCGCTGGACCCACTCCTTGCCCGAGTCGTGCGTCGCAAAGCTCACGTTGTAGCCGCGGCGAACCATTTCGTCGGCGACGCGCAAGAGAGGTGTCGCGTGGCCACGGATCGCGAGCGAGATGAAGAGCACATGCTTTTGCTTGAGATCGTCGAGAGGCGAGAAGGCCGGGCTGCGCTCGAGGCCGCCGCCGTTCAGATCAAAGGTGACGCCCGGCGGGATCGGCGCCAAGGCCCGCGCCGTGGCCAGCATGCAGGCCCACCACACCAGAAGCAGTGACAGCGCCATGCTTGTTTCGGAAACGATGGTAGTGCTCAAACCGCCACTTCTGATTGGGCAAAAACCACACGATTTTCGGATTGGTCGACGCAGACACGATCCATTAATCGCTGCACGCGCCAAAGTGCAAAGTGCTCGAAGAACGAGGAAGCTTGCTACTCGTACTAGCGCTATACGCACTTGAGGAGATGGTGCTTCCAGGCTCTGGGTCTGCCGTCCACCGTACATTATTATCGAGGGCGACCGTGGCCAATATGGACCGGGGCCGCGCAAAGCGGATCGCGACAGTCCACACTTCTCCGTCACTTTGACAGCATGAAACGTGTCGAGGTAGTAGACCAATATGTCAGCACCTTTGTGGACAGACTAGCGACAGTGGTGTCAAGTCCGAATGCCTCCCGCGCGCGTGGCCAGCATCGATGGTTCGAGTCTGCCGATATACACCTCGATAACGCCTAAGGTTGCGTCCAACGTGCGGTCGCAGAAGTGTGTTAATTTAAGAGGACGGCCTATTTCTAGCGCAGTAGTTATCGGTGGATGGACGCACTGGTCCATGGGCAGTGGAGCGAGCAAGACGTCGTCGGTGATTGCAGCGCCGACCGACATCAAATCTCGCAGTACCCCACGGCTCCTCTCCGTCAATGTCAGCGACGACCACATGCAGCGGGCCAACAGCACGTCGCTCAAGAGCCCCAAGGTGACCAGCCGCAGTCCGAGTGGCGCCAAGACACCGCTGCACCACAAGTCGCCGACGGCAAAAGTTTGTTCACACTACTGATCTCAAGGTGTAATCCTTTGGCCAGGAGAAAAAGGACAGCGGCGACGACGAGTACGCCAACGAAGACTTCGAACCCGACACATCCGGTGACGCCCAATCTCAGTTCCATCGATTTCTCATACTGTGTATGTCTTAGACGACCCCACAGCTTTTCCGTGGAAGCGCGGCGAGCTCCTTGGCACAGGCAGCTTTGGCTCGGTGCACACTGGGCTCTATCGCTACGATATGCATTGAAAGGGTGGTAGGTCTACCTGGCGCGGAACGAGTACACTGGGGACCTCATGGCCGTCAAAGAGATCATGTACGACGACGACTCGGCCGACGAGGTCATCGCGATTCAGCAAGAAGTGCTCGTGTTACGCTGCCTGCACCATCCCAATATCGTCAAGTACATGGGGAGCGAGTACGACGAGGCTGCGCGGACTCTCTACATCTTTACGGTTGGTCCTTTGGCGCTAATCGGAGACGTGCGCACTCTCTAGTTCGCATAGGAGTGGGTCCCCGGGGGTAGCCTCGAAGACAACACCAAGACGTTTGGGTGCTCGGAGCCTGTGGCGCAAACGTACGTTTACCAAATCCTCCTCGGCATTGCGTACTTGCACTCGAAGAACGTTGTGCACTACGACATCAAGGTAGACTCTACCGAGTTGGAGATGCAAGATTGGACAGGTTGTCTTCGATGCGTAGCCGAGCAATATTCTGATCGACCAGCACGGGGGCGTCAAGCTGGCCGACTTTGGCGCTTCGCGCTTGCTCAACGCAAGCTCGGTCGCCCAAGGCAAGTCGCTGCGGGGCACGCCCTACTACATGGCGCCCGAGGTCGTCAAGCAAGCCGGCACCAGCGTCAAAGTCGACATTTGGAGCCTTGGGTGCTCGCTGGTCAAGATGCTCACGGGCGTCCCGCTGTGGAAAAGCATGAAGTTTCAGAGCCAAATCGCGCTCTTCTTCCACATTGCCAACCTCACGGCGCCCCCGGAGCTGCCCGCCTCCATTTCGCCCGTCGCCAAGTCGTTCATCACTGCGTGCTTGCAGGTACACGCCACTGTAGTTCGATTCCGTTCAAAGGGACAAATAGGTGGCGCCCGAGGCGCGACCGTCGGCCGAAACGCTGCTCAAGCACCCGTTCATTCAGCACCGACACTTCAACCAAGCCCCGACCCACGCCATTTTGCACGTAGATTCTTCTGCAGGTTTTATTCGTGAATCGACCATGTTCGGATGTAGGAGAACTTGAAGGGCCGCGCCACAACGGCGGGCACGTCCATGGGGCCGTCGCGACCGCATGGTTGCGGAGACGCGCCGCCGCGGACCGCTGTCCCGCTCTTCCACCCGAGTCTTCACTATGATGCATTTGCCATGCACGAAGTCAAGACGCCGTCCCACGACCAAACCAAGGTCCAACAAGGTCCTGCACCGCTGTGCGTCCGCGCGTCCTAATGTCTGAATGTGACTTGTAGAGCCCATGCACGAACCGAGCGCAAGCAAGCGCATGGAGGACGAGAGCGAAGAGGAAGATGAAGAAAAAGGCGCGATGCCGATGACCACATCGAGTAGCGAGTCGGTGTTGCCGTCGCTGACGCCACCGAAGTCGGCGTCAAAGAAGAAGAAGAACTCGGACCCGACCGTGGCCTCGATGAAGGCCACATCGGCGCACACGCGGAGCACATCGTTGGCGTCATCCAAAGACCTCAATGCCAACGCGGGCAACCGGCGCCACTCGCACGATTTGGGTGCAGGCTCCGACGTTGTCATGCCGCGCCTCACTGCCAAGGACGACCATCACCCGCCAGTTGTATCGTCGCCGCCCAAGAAGAAGCTCTATGACGAGACGCCCATCTTGTCGGACGTGGCCAAGCGCGAGCGCGACGCTGTCCTCGAGCGCGAGGTAGCCCCAAAATCTGCACCTACAAGTGACCGTACATATAATAGGCCCAGAAACGTAAGCTCAAGGAAGAGCAAGCGCGGCAGTGGCGCGAAGAGCAAGAGGCGTACCGGCGGTCGCTTGCGCCGGGCTAATACTGCCAAAGGCAAACTCATCCAACAGCGTTTTGGACCAAGTGCAAAGTGGGTCGCATGCGACGTCTTGGGTGTACTGTGGGATATGGTGTTCATGGCTTGTCCGTATCCTCCTGGCCTTTTCCGCCCCAACGACAGTGTCGAGGGCGGCAGCCGGCAATTGCATCGTCGTTGCCGTCACGTTCGTCGATAGAGAGGCAGTAGTCGTCATCTAGTTAGTCGATACGTCGGCGTTAGTCGTCGTCGCCTCCATGTCGTCGTCTCGTCGGGAAAGGCGGTGCGCCATCGGCAAGTTCATCCCCGGGGTTCTTTTTCGATCGCGGCTAAAAATAGACGGACCATTCGTTTAAAATATGATTGTGTACTTGATATTTGTATGTATTTTTATTGACAACCAATGGTGGCCTGCGATTGGTCCGTATAGAAAACCCAAGAGGTTTGGGATCCGGCAGATTTTAACCACCAGTACGGGGCCAAAGACAAGGCGATCTTCACAGAGTCCAATTAGCATGGCGTCCAAGGTGACTGCGGGCCCGACCGTGCTCGTCGCCGTCCTCAGCATCATCGGCCTCGCCGGCTTCGTCGCGTACGAGTACATGAAGGCGGCCGACGACGAATCCAAGAAGAAGACCAAGTCCCGCTCCATCACGATGGTCAAGGCCGCGACGACGCCCAAGCTGCAGGCCAACTCGCCGCGCAAGGCGCAGTCGCCCATGGCGTCGCCCACGCGCACTGCTGTTCCGCCGCCGCCACCACCGCCCATTACATCGCCCAAGCCAGCGTCGCGCAAGTCGTCGATTGTGCAAGAAGATAGTACCCACGTCGCTTCGCCCAAGGTGGCATCGCCCAAGGTCACCTCGCC